CATGCCCAGTCCTGAGACCACCCCTGGCTGTGCCACTGGAGGGGTGGGCAAGGCGTTTGTCCATCGACTTCTGGGACCCTGTACTAGCTTCCCTCTCTTGGCCGTGGACAGCAAGATGATGTTCACTAGTGTGAGTGACTGTGGAGCCCAGTCCACCACTGGGCATCTGAATTAACACTATGAATGACGCCCACCTCCTCACAAACACTTGAAAGCTTTTAAGTATTTGAGAGAAGTAAAATTTAGAAACTTACATCATCTTTGGCTTGGAAGAGGTACTCATTGCCATCATTTAATCTGTAATTTCAAGGAAGAAAAGTTAAGTCACAACTTAACTTCAGAAAAATAAAAACAAAACCCCACAACTCCCACGTCCTACGTGAAATACGGGCAGACCAAAGGAGTCACATCAGAACGTCAATTAGAGCACTACATACAACCATGCCTGCAAAGGCCCAGCAGCAGTGCCCTGGACAAGATGCCACACAATTGTGTCAAACTAAAGTACACAGTCAGCTTGGTGCTCCAATCCACTGGAACGATCACAAAAAGCTCCAAACACAACAATGGGGTTTGTCATGGCAAAGACCATGTGGGTGCTTCATCAGTGGTTTGAACTGACTTCAGGAGAAAGCCCCTCTGAGATTCTGCTACTGAACTTGTATCCCCTACATTTATAAATTCCAGAGTGTCAGAAGAGATGGACAGAAAAGGTCTTCTAGATTTTTCTTCTAATGTATGTCCCGGAACAAAAGAAACCACCCTAGTGAGGTCACCAGTGAGTGTGACACTGCTGCTGTCAAAAGCAAGAGGGTAACCATGGTACGGCAGAGGGTAACCACCCTGGGCCTATCCCCGACTCTCTTAAAGCCACAGTCAGGGAGCACAGAGGAAAAAGCAGCCAGCAGTCACGCTGGCTGTGCCTTGTCCTGAAAAATTTGAGTGTTCCAAGGCCCTACATCAACAGGCCTTAATAAATCTCACCATTTGAAACTCTCTCCTCCTAATGTGCTCATTCTAGTCCAACTGGCACAAAACACACACATTACTCAAGACCAGAGCTTTTCAGATCCCAAAGCAATGGAGCTAATCAGTGTTAAGCTAACATCCTAATCACAAAAATGCTTATTTTTTTATTTTTAAAAGATAAAATAATGCTTCTGCCCACTTCAAGTATGAGGAGAACTTCTGAGCTTGGATCCGCTCTGTAGAGAGGTGTGTGTGTCTGACAGGGTAGAGAAATTTGGAACTCTATGATTTCAGTGGCTGCTGCAGAGTCAGGGGAGGACAGGGCCCCAGGCCTCATCCAAGCATTTCCTGTTTGTCTCCATCCGGCTCCAGGATGATTCACTTGACCAATCTCCAGATAAGTCATGAGCAAAGAATAGCATCTGCTGGGATAAGCTGAGAAGATGGGGAAACTATTTTTTTATGCTTCTTTTAAACTGTGACATGGGAATAGTTCACCTTAAGTCTTAGGAACAGTTAAGTTCCAGGTTATGAAAACCAATGTTCTTTTTCCCTCAATGGTCAACTGTACTATTAACCACAGGGAAATTAATCACAGTGTCTAAGAAAACCAGCCCCAGAGCAAAAATAAACCCATTCTCAGGTGACCTCAAAGTGCAGCAACCCTCACCTGAGCTTAAACACGTGTTTCTTCTTCTTGTAATCTAGGGCCACTTCACAGACGGCTTCCCTCAAACTCACAGGGACCTCGCTGTGGTAGGGAATTCCGGAAGCAGCCGTCTTCGCGTCTTTGTAGAAACCCATCTCTTGGTTATTTATGACACAATAGACATTGTGCCAGGACCTGAGCAGTGAAGAAAGGTCATCAAGGCTCTGTGCCCCACTCCCCTTGGAGAAGCGTCTGACCAGGACACTCACACGTGTGTGACTCCTATTCACAGCCCGTGCTAAATTGTGCTGACACTAGTGCTGGAACAGAATTCCTCTGAGATCCTTGGGGCAGGGCCCAGGTTGCTATACTGGCAGGGCTGAGTGTTACTTCCTTCTCTGGATCTGGGAAAAACGTGGTGCCCTTTTCTAGTGAAGAAATGCTCTTTGCTCATTTTTACAGGCTTTGGAGTCAGGGGGGTTTCATTCTAGCGTCACCATGTACTAGGTTTCTACAGAAAGCAAGCTTTTTAAAACCTCTCAGAGCTTCCCTTCCCTCATCTGTTAAATAATAAAATTAGGGCTTATTGGGAGATAATGAATATAAAGTATGACACAGAAATAAGGCCAAGGGAAATGGCAGATGTCTTTTTAAAAATCCCATAAGGAATCTTACAAGAAAGTCATTTTACTTATGGGAGAGAAGATTCTTTAATCTCAAACTAGCAGATTCCTTCTCAGGATCAACTCCTAGGCCCCTTTCTGCTATTCCACCCACATTTAGCTCTTCTTCTCGTAGTAAATGAGCAGCGCTCGCCTTCTGCTTTCTAATGTGAAGAATGCAATGCCCAGGAAGCTACCAAATGCAGGAACCCACACGAGCACAGGCTCCCTTCCCGCCTCACCCTGTACTGTGAGCTCACTGCCCATCTTGCCGCGCCAGCCTCTGCGGCTGTTACCTGCTCGAGGCTTTCTTATTGTGGGCCTCCCACTCATGCTTCCGATTCAAGAAGCCTTCCATCTGGGCCGAAGGCGTCTCCTGGGTTCTGGCCGGTAAGGTGGCAGCACTCTGGGCTGGGAGGGCAGTCTTGGCTTTGCGATCCGAGGTAGGGGAGGGGATGGGGCTGGACTCTTTTGAGCTCGTCCTCTGTTCTGTTGCGCCGTTGACCATTTCACTTGTGTCCACCGTTTCTGCCACCTAGAGATAGCAGAGAGGCCATTCAGCTACCTCTGTGAGCCACGCACATGGCCACATACTCTCTAACTGACTCGCTCACGTGGCTGTGTATAAATGCCTGGCACAGATCGAGGCAGTACAGTAAAACCATTGCACACCCCACAAAGCCAGCTGGACACCGAGGGACATTAGAAGGTGGGAATGGATTAATACCCGCCCGTTTATGGGGAATGAGAAAAGCGAAATGTCAGTATGAGTTTTACTGCACTCTGCTCCTCTGATCAATCCATTTTCTCTAATATAACTCAGATCATCTCCTTTTACAGTTACTTTAAAACGAAAGGACACGGTAACAATCACACATATTAAATATGAGAGAGAGTGGACGTTATACAGCAGCCACCTTAGAACCAAGGATGCCACCAGAAGGGCTGAAGTTGAAGCGAAAGGGCATTCACAAACAGACCGACAGACAACTCTATCAGAGCTACACGGCATTCCCCCGGAGTAAGACAAAGGAAAGAACTTTGGTTTCTGAAAATGCTCTCTGGCTCTCCTCCCCCGCCCCTCAACACATTGTCATAAACACATGCAGAAATTAGGACAACGATCATGCATTTCACATCTACCATCCCAGTTAGACTTTGGAACTTAAGAGCTGGAAGGAAATGAGGCAAGTCAACAAACATCAATTTAACCGCATCTGCCGAAGTTGTATCGTGAGTGGGTTGTAGTTTGTGTTAAAGGAGCTGGAAAAGCCAATCACAGTCACTCAACACCACACAGCTATTTACCCCCAAACAAAGACAGAACCAGGGCCTTCCCCATCACGGGTTGGTTGATCACGGTGCCTTGCTGTACTGAGACGAGGAAGCCCAGAGACAGCCAGGCTTCCAGCGGCTCTGACCCTTCAGGCTGGAGACGTCTTCCGGAGCGTTCCTTCCCAAGCTCACTTAAATTGTAACCCTCATGGCTTTTCGGCTTTGGAAATGTAGTAGGGTCTTGATTCATTATCACTTTCAGCCTGTGTACCATCAACTGTGTACCATTAACTGTAGCAGCCCCCGGCTGATACACCCAGGGTATGGGATTAGCGAGTTACTAAAGCTGGGTGTGGCTGACGCTTTAGTGGGTTACAGACAACCTGCACCCCTCGTACACGGACAAACATGGAGGAGTCAATGGCACGCTCATTAGATACGTCCCCGCACCACTGCTGCCCAGGACCAGTGACACCAAATTAGCAGCAACAACCCTGACAGGACAGATGGTGGTGGTCTGGCCACCCCTGCTGGAACATTCGGATCTGTCTGCTCTTGGGAATGTTATCTCTAACTTACTGGGTTTTACCTAAATGGCTGGGCCCAATGCTTGATTGCCAAGAAAAATAGTTTTTTGGGAAAAGGGCTGTTAAAAACTTGGGCAGGGAGGAAGAATCATGAGTTTACACCTATGCAAACTATCACTAGCATCAGGGTTTAGGGTGAGACTAGACACTACACAATTTCAAGGTGACTTTGGCTGAAAAAAATTGCCTTTAGGCTCATGGCAAGGTAGAAAATGGATTACTGGGGCAGAAAGACACCAGGGTATGTGGTGGTGGTGGTGGTGGTGGTGGTGGTGGTGGTGTAGGCACCTGTGTGTATGGTGGTCCTTAGGCCTTGCCACTGACAGCCTGTAGACATGTGCTTGAACAACGCCTACTGAAATATTTCTATCTCTTTTCACTTTCAAAGGAGAGTTATAGGAGGGGAAATCACCAAAACTACAGAACCCTGAGTCAAAACAATGTGAGTAGGTTTCAGAGTCGACAAATCTCCTTTCATGTTGCGATTTCGGGAAACTTCTGGGGAGGATGAAGTTTGAGTTTGGTTTGGAAGGCCTGAGCCAGGTGTGAGTCCAGAGAGACATGGGGTTAGTATATACAGAAACCAGGTTAAAAAAAAATTTACTGCTGCAGGTTTGAGTTGAAAGCTGCTAGCAACAGCAATGACCTGGATCGGGAGATGTTTATTTAAAAATGGCTAAAATTGATCATACTTGGTCAGACTTCAAGGTGGATGAAGGCCAGGGAAGCCTCTTCTGAGGGAAATTCTGCAGCAAAAATTTTTTCTTTAGCGTTAGAAGGAAAGAGAAAACCCCAAACCAGTATGCAGAGATAATTAATGTTTATGCAAATGAATCACTAACGAAGAAAACAAGGAAATAAAAGAAACAAAATGAATTTTAATGGACATGTGCTTTAAGCATGCCAACAGACAACACACCACTAGAGACAAACATCAAAAGCAAATCATAGCGCTCCGATCAATGATGGGTACATGTGAATATGCCCCCCCTCCCCACCCCACCCCACGTTGCTTCTCTTTAGCCATTAGTCCAGAGCGCTTTAGTGGCCGGGCATGCCCGAGATACTTAAATCAGGAGGTGAACATATAAATGTAATGTGACAACTAGTAGCACAGGAAACCCCTGATTGGTTTTCAAGGTGCACCACCAAGCAACACTACTGTCAACTACTCATTAACCTGAGTCTCTGCACCACCACTCAAAACAATGGAAAGTGTTTTTCTTCTTCCAAAGCAATCCAATTGTAATTAAAATTTGTTCTGGGAAGGTATAATTTAAAAATCTAGATAAAAATAGGTACGAGAGCAAACGCTAAAAGCATCACAGTATGGCCTTCCTGTGTGCTTCTGTGGGTCCTTCTTGGGGAGAGGATCCTTCTAAATACAAAAAGCATAAAATTGGGTATCTTTCCTGATGATACAAAATTTAAAAACATATACATATATATGAAAACATCACATATATACATACAGATCAATGACACACAGTATGTAATTTGGAGCCAGAAACGTCAGGGCTTTCTAATGATCAAAGACCAAGCAGCAGTTTTTTTCTAACATGAATTTTGGTGTGTAAGGCAGAGACTCAGTCATGGTGCACGCTACTCCCAGAACATAAGAAGCTTGGCATCTATCTATATACCTATCTACAATCTCAAGTAGATAGATATGTACATAGATATGTACATAGAGATAAGGAAAAACAAACAAGATGCTATATGATGTTATCCTGACAAAAGAAAAAAAAAAGACATGCATCATGAAATAAAAAGACAAATTAGACTTAACTCATGGAGAACACATATCAAAACAGGTTTCTGATTCTACTAACACATCTAAATATGGCAAATGAGCAAGTGAATGTCTCACAAGGCTTTGATGTAGTTAATGGATTTGGTTTCGTCTTTATCAGTACCAGGAAATCACCTCTTTCACTAGCTTTTATTTCTAAGGGAAAGGATTTCTGTTAAGATACTTTCAATCCCTGCTTGTAGCCTAAATGTAGGATAAATGCCATCCTAAAACACTCGGCGAATTCCACAACAAGTCTTAAGAAAATAAATAACGAATCAGAAGATTCGTCTGAGACGTACAGGAAGTTTCTGTCTGCAGAGACACTAGAATGACCTATGCAGCCAGGAGGCAAGCAAGTGCTCCTAGGCCCGGTCCAACATTCAAGTAATCAGGATGAACCAGAATGGCTTTTGTTCCATTTGTTTGGAAAATTAAAACACTTTGACACCCTGAAGTCACGGACTGAGTGGACAGGCCTGGTAGGCAGGCCTCCCAAACACACTGAGAACTGTTCTCACCTGCTGCATCCCTCATCCCCATGGTACTGACAGCAACCAGAGGTGGCGGCTGTCCTCAGTGGGCACTTTACTCCCGAGGCTGGCTGCAGCATCTGCTCTAAGCCTGCAGTTCTCAATTCGGGACTTGGCAGGAAAGAGAGGGGCTGGTCTATAAAAAGTAATGATGACCCAAGGGTCTCTAAAACATTTGAGACTGTATGCCCCGAATTAGAATAGCATCCAGAATATATCAGACTTCTTTTTTTTGTCACTTTCACTACAAGAATGCATCCTTTATGGAATGTTACACAGCTGACTTGTGGCTTTCATCTTAGCATTGAACGTCTCCTTCCTCATTCACCAGTCTTCCTGGTCACGAGGAAACTACTGCAGGTTAATAACATCTCTAAAGGGGGCTACATACAGCACCGTGCTGTGCCCTGTTAGTATAACTGGATGTGTCGTACCTGTTAAGATTCTAGTTTTCTTCTTCATTATGCTGTAATCTCATTTAATTTCATTTCAATTACTCATGTAAGGGTTATCGCTGCAAAATCTTAATAAAATTGAAAACTCACAATAAATAAACAAAAATTAAGTATGTTGCTTTAAGGCCACTGGGCATCCATCAGTTAAGAGGCTCAAATAAACATGAATTAAATAAATGCAAACAAATATGGAACCAAGGAAGGCTATGAATTAAGTAAAATTTTTTAACATTTTGGTTGAAGTGGAAGCTGAAAAGTCAAAACCGACAGGATTTGAAAAGGGTGGTTCTTGACAAATGGTAGTGAACTTCACAGTCCAGACCATGGCTGGTCACTGGCTGTCCGTCTGCTATTAAAATTTTTGTAGTTTTGGTAGGTTTGAGAGCGGTAACTAACCCGTGGAGATCCCTGTTCAGCCGGCAAACCGTTCTGGGAAACTTGCTCTCCTTTTGAAGTATCCCTGTTTGATGAGGTGGGTAAAAATAAAAAAGAAAAAGGAAAGGGAGGGAGGGAGGGGAAGAAGGAAGGAAGAAAAGAAAGAGAACAGTGAGCGGGTGGGGAGAACAACATCATTCCATTTCAGTACAAGTTTTCCTCAAAAGGACATAAGCAACTTTTTCACAGAATACAACTTAAAAACTTTTTAAAGCTAACTTCCAAGTATTTCAAATAGACTCTAGATAAAAAAAATCAGACGACAGGAATGCCCTGCCCTGCACCACACCATATAAAGGCAGCACGAGAGGTGGCTGGGAGCATTTTCCAGGGCAAAATAATCAGCCTTTTGGAAAGAGAGAGTCATTTCGGCCCTTTGTGTAAAGTCACTTGGAACTTTCAAAAAGCATTACCACAAAACCACTGTCCTGAAGTCCGGGCAGTTGGCTCTATATGCTTAGCCACGGAGAGCTTCTGAGTGTTTCTGCTGTGCATGTGCAGGCAGGGGGAAGGTGACGCCCACATTCTGCTTCTGCCATCCATGCAGCTAGGAGGCTGTGGACAAGTCCACGTCCTCAAACGATACTCAGGGGTGACTATACGATTCTAAATAGTCTACAGAAGCAATTACCAGGGAGGTCGCCAAGCAAGGCTTCCAACAGATGCTCCATAAACCTCACTTGCCACTGAAGCTCAGAGCCCAGCCTCCAGAGTTGCCCGGGACTCACCACTGCTGCTGGGACTCGGCCTCCTCTGAAACCTTCGTGCTTGGCTCCGGTGAAGGTGGCCGCCTCTTCCTCTCCTCTTCCTCTTGCTGTCTGCGCACTTCCAGTAACTCCAACTGAGGAGAACACAGTGATGTTCAGCGCAGTCCCAAACTCTGCTTCTTTTAAGGGTAAGGTTCTAGGAACCCAGGAAGTCCTCCTGGTTACACTGGACAACCAGAAGCTCTGGCAGCCTGAGTAAAATGGCATTAGGATTGGAGGAACTGCAGCTACAACCTAAAACTACAGGAAATAGAGCTAGTACAGGAAAATACGTACTACACACGTAGTCTAGGGGCTGGCAAAACTCCTGTGAGTTGTTTTGTACAACTCCTGGGAAGCTGGGTTTAATTTCTAAATTAACTATGCAGCTCTCAACTTTGCTGAGGAGGACATTACCTGAGCCCCAGGGCTCACACTGGACTCCCCAGGAGAGCTCCAACAAACACCCAAGACAGCCCTGCAGTAATTCTCAAGGAAGCGGCTTATGCTGTGGTAGGGATCTGTGTTCAGCCAAAACCCAAATAACACATAAAAAAGCCACAGACTACTCTAACCAAAATGAAGCCATTTCATGAGCAATATGCATGCACAAAGTATGCAGGCACATCTAACACCCCCAGAATTGTATACATCAGAAAGAAACACCATTTTGTATACTGCAAAGAATCGGCTTTCTACCAGGAGTGCAAAAGTCCAGGCAGAGAAAACATCAGTGCAAAAGCCCTATTCAAAGGCCTTTATGTTGGGCAGAAGAGGTCACTGGGAATGGGGAGTTTGCAACGGAGCTAGTTTGCATTGAGCTAGGTGAATTCTGGATCAACAGACCAATTCCACGACAGGAAGCTCTTGTAAGTCATCCTGAATCTACAAGCCAAGAGGGGGTAGCAGCCCTGCGCCTGGCCCGGTCGTCTTCCATGGGAGCCACCAACTTCAAGAAAATTCTTACTGTTTTTTAAAAACTGAGCAACTGTATGAATTCTCCAGTCTGAGACAAGCAGGCAGAAAAGGCTGTCCCGGGCTAACAGGCAGAGCAGCCCAGCATCCACCGGCCACTTACTGTTGTCAGCCTTTCCAGGGCAGAGAACCTCTCATCCCAGGTCGCTGCGGACTTTTCAAAGGCCTCGTGGCGCTTGATGAGCTTCTCCACCTCGTCCACACTCTGGCCGATTTCTCGGCTGGATAGGTACGGCTCCTGTCCAAGCAGCCAGGCTTCGGCCACACTGGCGTCTCTTGAGAACTGATGGACCTCCAAAACTGCACAGCACACCAAGAGAGGGTGAGGCTGGCCAGTACAAGACCTGGCAGTCCCCACCAGGCCCACCCCCCAGCACCGCTGCCCTCCTCTCTCGTGGCAGCTACCTGCACAAATAATTTCCCATCTATTCTAGATTAGCGCTGTCCAGCGTAAATGGATGTGCAACTTTAATGTTTCCAGTAGCCACATTTTAAAAAGAGTAAAAGTAAGCAGGTGAAATTAACTTTAATGTGTGTTGTATTTAACCCAATACATTAAAAACGACCATTTCAACAGGTAGTTGGTATTTAAAAATTGAGATGTTACATTCTTTTTTCTTCTAAGTCTTAATCTGATGTGAATTTTATACTACAGTGCTGTCTTACTACGTATCTCAAGTTCAGAAGCCACACGTGGGATAGCAGCCACCATGCTGCACACTCTGCTCACTCAGCTCCCCTCAGAGCCCCGAGGGGGTTCACATTCTATGCGCAGCCCTACTGCACAGGTGGAGCAGGCGTTCATAAACCACCCCTTCCTGGAGGCAGTCGTGGTTTACTGTGGGGGGTGAGGGAGGGAAGGACATGGGAGCACTACAGCAGGTGGGGATGACATGGCCAAGGCTTCTGTAGTTTCATTCTATTCCTCCAAGCATGTGAGGAGACAGAGAACACCAGCTACTGCTAATACTGATTCTTCACTGTGTTTCATGTAGCAATGCCTGGGGCTGCTCAGGTGAGAGATGGGCCACAGGTAGCACCAGTGTCCCCAGGGGCCAGCCATTTCCTTCCAGTGCCTCATGCTGGATGCCCACAGATGGCCACATGGAGAAGATGCCACCTCTGCACAAAGGCCTCATCAGCTTCAAGGGAAGGGCTGTGCAAGTCATCACTCTGTCCCCAGCGTACAGTCTGGTCCCAGTTCACACACAGTAGGCGATGTGGGTTTTGCTGAACTGAGTGAAAGTGCCCTAGAATTCTCAAGACTTACAGACCAAATCTTCATGTAAAGAATGGTCAAAAGTGGGATTTCTGAGGGCTCTGGGCCTTCCCTAGAAAACGCCCCTTGGATTCAGTTTCTAGTAAGCACCTAGACGTGTATGGATGAGGTTAGAACACAAAGATAGAGCCCAGAGCTCCACCATAGAACAGCAAAAGATGGTGCACGCCACCTGACCTACTTTTAGTGTTCATGCCAATGATGAAATACTATTCCCAATGCTGCATGTTAGAAACCCTGTGTTGGCTCACCGATTCCTTTATAAAATGGGGATTTAAAATAGAATCTATCTCACAGAATCACTGTGGGGAGTAAATATAGACATAGATCAAAAAAACTTAGAACAATGTCCAGTTCACAGCAAATCCTTAATAGATGTTAGTTTGTATTTCATTGTTATTAATCTTCCAATGAGAACATCAAATGTAAGATGTACTCAGGTCAACCTTTGATCTTCTTGATCCTAAAGTCCTAACTCTTTGTTTTTTTTTGTTTTTGAGAAAGAGTCTTACTTTATCACCATCTATAGAGTGCCATAGCATCATAGCTCACAGCAACCTCAAATGCCTGGGTTCAAGTGATTTTCTTGCCTCAGTTTTTCTATTTTTTTTTTTTTTTTTAAAGTAGAGACAGGGTCTCACTCTTGCTGAGGCTGGTCTTGAACTCCTGAGCTCAAGCAATCCATCCACCTCAGCCCCCTAGACTGCCAGGATTACAGACAGACATGAGCCACTGCACTGGCCTGAAGTAATAATTCTTGAAGACAACTAAGAGAAGGGGGGTTTCTATTTGTGCCCTCCCCCAGGATGCTGAATGGTCACCCCCCATGTTGTTCCTAAAGAACGCCCAAATCTCACTTGTAACTCAATAAGTCATGTGGTGAAATATGATGAATACTCCACAGTTAATTTCCTAAAAATAGTACTTACCATGGAATGATGAAACAGAATACTAAGAAACCAGCCCAAATGTCAAAATCATTAAACAACAATATCATATCAATTAAAGCAGAAAGATAAACTTGCATGCTTCCCATGGATACCCAAGAGAGCAGAAAGATGAGTAAAGTCTGTCCTTACTCAGTCTTAGCCATTCCCATCGGTCTTCCCACTTGTCGATCATTTCTTTTCTCTTTTCTGTCAACTGCAGTAACTTTTCTTTGATCTGTATGAAAGGGAGGAACCCCAAGACATCTTAACAGAATGTACCACACCCTCTTGATGGGTCACTTTGCACGAGAAAAATACAGTTTCTGCAAGGACCACCATAGGTCAGGAGATACCCAAAGCCTACTCAGTCTGTCTGTGTAAAGGGAAAAGGAGAGAGAAGCATGGCAGTGCTCCTTCCAGAAGGGGCTGGAAGAAGGCCGGGGCCCTGCCCAAAGCTATAATACTCTGTCGCGAGGAGGCTTTTCTCAGCAAACATATTTGGGAAGAGAGACACACAGCAAGGGGGCAAAGCCTTGACCTCTAAGAGGATATCCATTTCCATGTAGGGGTGGTGGGGTGGGGGGTAAACACTGAACTAATTATTATCTCCTTAACACCATCGTCCCATCCACTAAAGAGGAAGCTGATCTAGGTCACATGTGATGAACAAGGGGTGCCAACTAGAAAGAGTGCCAGTGGAAGAGGTGTGAGAGGCCCCCCCAAATTGTAATGAACAAGGGGTGCCAAGAAAGAGTGCCAGTGGAAGAGGTGTGAGTGGCCCCCCAAAATTGTGATGAACAAGGGGTGCCAAGAAAGAGTGCCAGTGGAAGAGGTGTGAGAGGCCCCCCAAAATTGTCTTCTGTGCCATAAATTTACTGGCTCTGGGCCTGAAGTCTTGCATAATTCTATTCTAGACACACAAGACATAAGGAGTTTTGAAATGTATGAATGTGTATGTGAATATGAATATAAATACATATTTCTGTATTATGTACATCTACGTATGTACACCCCCCAAAATAAAGTCATTTTATATCTTAACATGACCTGCATTTCCCCTTGGCCCCAAAGCAAAGGAGTATCCTACCTCCTCAGATGCGTAGTGTTTTCTTGCCAACAAGGATTTCCCAAGTTCAATACAGGTTGTGAAACTGTCATTCCGAGCATCAATTTCAGCTTTGATACCTTGATGATTATTCATTAATAGTTCAACAGACGATACATCCCTAAAATCAGACAAAGAATACCTCCTTTAGGAGAGCAATTAAAGGAAATTGATGACATCTTAGTTTAATTCACCAACAGAGCTTAGGCTGGGCCACTGGAGACAAAGCACAATGACAGCACAATTCAGGGTCAGCCATATAATCAAATATTTAGAATTCCTTTATTTTTGTGTGGGTGCCTGAATGATTCAATTCAAAATGTTCGCGCTGGATTTCTGTTTAAATTTTCACTTTGAAATGCACTTCCAACAGCCTCTGAGAAGAAGGTACAGAGGCAGTGACAGGTGTCCCAAGTACATCCTGAAGAGTTAGCTGCTAAAGGTTTGGGATATGTGAACTCAATAGTAGCCGATACAGTCTCCATATTCAGACATGAGAAAACACAGATAGTGAGAATCAGGTTAGACATCAGTGACCAGCAGAGCTGTGAGAGCTCTCCATGCATCAAAACCCAACAATCCTGATCTAGGAAATAGAATTAAAATATCTAGGAAACAGAATTAAAATATCTATTTATATATATGCAACAAAAAATATTTCCTCTATTGAAGCACAGTTTATTTCTCAATTATAGTGGAAGCAGGAGCTGGCAGAGGTAAACTGGAGATTATATCTGCACCAGTTTGTTAATCTATTAACTTTTCTTCACTAATCTGCATGACATAAAGCCAAAGCAGTAGAACAAAAACTAAATACTAAGCCCAGGACACCATTAGTGCACATACTGAGGCTAAGTGACACCTTTAGCAATGTGTATAGAAAGGAGTAAGATGATTTCTAATCCAGATCTAACAAAAAGAACTCAGAACAGCCATCTCACTACAAACATCACACAGTTAGTTCCCAGGTATGTGGCACCTGGAGCCCGAGGTCCTACTTTGAGCACAGACCTGGGCAGAAAGCCTGTGAGTGTGGAACAATGGGAGATGAGCTGGGGAGACCCAGGGAGGGCCTGACAACACCAAGCCCAGCATTCCCTGGAGAGGTGCAGGATACCTGGAGTGACAGCCTCCCCAACCCTGCCCTGGCCTTGCAGCTCTCAGGCAAGAAGTGCTCTCGAAGCTCCTTCCTCTCCCTGGAAGATCCCTTCTCCTTGTTGCCCAGTGGTCAGTGAGCCTGATTTCCTCCTGCCTGGGAGGCTGGGAGCGTTACCTTGGCTTCTCCTGGGCTTCGATCTGCCGGATGACATCCTCCATCCAGAGCATGAGGTCGCGCACCATGCTGAAGAAGCGGAATTTGTCCCCTGTGTCCACCAGTCGCACTCTGCGGCCCTCGCAGGCATCCAACAGGGACTTCCAGGCTTCCAGGACCTCGTTCTCCCGCTTCTGGATGTCGTCGGCCTTGTCACCCGCATAGGCTGCTTGGAGGCGGGCCGCGTCCTCTTGCAGCTGCCTCACCTGGGAAGCCACAGGGGACATGAGCCAGTGAGTCTACTGTGGCCCCCACCACTGCCCTATGCCACTCTGCTCACATACTGAAGGGAGTGACCAGACAAAATGTGGCCCTTGCCCCTCAAAGAGCCTCAATTGCATGAAGATCCAAGTCAGGAAAACTCAAATATTCTATAAATCTACTGAACTACATTCTTAAGTTTTATACTATTAAAACAAATGAAATTCTACAGGAATGTAACAAGAGCTCAGTCACGAAAAGTCTCCTAGAGGTGGCATGGGATATACGAGTAGGGCAAAGCTGGATGATTTCTACAAAATAAATACCTCATTTGTTCTTTCAGGCAGGCTCAAGATGAATGTTTTTATCGTGAGTGAGAAACTACCATGAAGAACACATTTTGAAAACACCTTTCCATTGATATGTGATGCTGCTGAAAACAGTGCACATGTCACCTGCAAGAATTCTCACCAGGGGACATCTACACTCCCCAACTACAAAAACACAGCACCGGTGTGGTCAAAACGACTAAGTGGTATTAAAGAAGGTGAAATCTGAACTAGCCAAATTTTAATATACTCTTTGCAAAACTAATAGTGAGAATTGAAAATTAATAGTGAGAATTGTGATTTGGTTAATGGAGCCAATGGTACATTTAATACTCTTTGCAAAACTAATAGTGAGAATTGAAAATTAATAGTGAGAATTGTGATTTGGTTAATGGAGCCAATGGTACGTTTAATACTCTTTGCAAAACTAATAGTGAGATTTGAAAATTAATAGTGAGAATTGTGATTTGGTTAATGGAGCCAATGGTACATTTACGTCTATGGAGTTTTGGTGAGTTACCAAAAAACCCCAACAAACCAACACAAAAATCAGCATGTAGAGAAAGTTCAGATAGCAGGCAACGCAAATGAATCTTATACATCAAAAGACACTTCATAGAGATAATGGAACGTTATTTAATAGTTGGTGAAAGCCCAAGTCAGATGATGTATGTTCCCTGAGCTCATTCACTGTTGACAGGATATGACGGGCTGCACTCCTCTAGAGCACAGTGGGGCAGTGTCCAGGAAAATTATAAATGCACACACCTTCTAATTTTATGGCCCCACCTTGCGGAGTTAACATAAATTCTTGCACATTTAAGAAATGAAATACAGATAGATTATTTACTACTGCATTGTCTATAAAAGCAAAAAATCAAAAATAAAGTAAATCTCCATCAATGAAGAACTGGTTACATTAATGATGGTACATCCAACAGGAGGGTCCTATACAGCCGTGAAAAAGAACAAGGAAATGCTCTACGTACATAATACAAACTGCTCCAAGATGACGGCTAAGTGGAAAAAGCAAAGTTCAGGCATAATAATCTACTTTCTATGTTAAAAAGAGGGAAAAACCCAAGAATACCCTCTCACCTTTTTGGGGGGAGAGGGTGTGCATGCATATGCCTTTTATAACAGTTACAGAAACTAGTTACTGTAGCTATTTTGTATTTAAATTTACTTCTCATATATGTTTATATCAAGTACTTAACATTTGCAGTGCTGTACATGTGTATAACGTCTAATTGAAGATAGACACACTTGGGGCATGGACAATAACTATTTACTAATGAGATGTGTGGTCAAATAAGTGTGCAGACAGCAGTTGTGGATGGGAAGGGCTTTCAGCCGTCTGAGAGAGGAGCACTTGGAGAAACACCATATAAGGATGCAGGGGTGGTAAAGGTGGTGGGGACAGACAGTGCCAGAGTAGGGGGGAGGTGGGAAAAAAAGAAAGTAAAAACAGAAGTTTCTGCAAAGGTATAAAGAAGAACCAATGGAAATTTAGTTTCTATTGTGATTGATTTCCATATCCTGAGGAACTTTCGGAACTATTCTTTATGGCTCAGGTATAACTCAAATTACAACATTCAAGTTCCTAGAACATTATCTGGAAAGCCAATTCCCTATAAAACTAACCAAGTCTTCCCAAACACTTGTTTCTGTGCCTCTTTTTTTGGTTGTTTTTGAGAAAGAGTCTCACCTGTAATGGTATCATAGCTCACTGTAACCTAAAATTCCTGGTGTAAGCAATCCTCCTGCCTCAGCCTCCTATTTTTTTTTTTTTAATTTGCTCTCAAAACAAAAAGTAAGGTGGAAGAGGACTGCAAAAGTAAACATTTTCACAAAAATTAACTATTGCTTTGCACAGCCACTCAAGACCATTCTTGGGTGCAAGTATTGTATTGTTTCTTTCTGGGGCTCCTGTGCAGAACGGAGATGGTGGCAGGTCAAGCTGGCACAAGAGGAAACACTAGGAGGAAGCACTGTGTGCCCCAGGACCTCTGTGCTGAGAGCCTTCCCTTCTGCTGTTACTGTGGTAACAGGATTGCAAAGAGGGCACACATTCTCCCATGGCTGCACCGGCTTGGCCCAGCAGGTATGCTGGGGCTGTCAGACTTGAGGAGGTGAATCCTGTGCTGGGTATCCCTGGACCCTTGCTGGGCTTCCTCACCTCTCTCTGAGTCTCATGAGGTAAAGGGGTTCATTAAAAAATTGGGGAGCAACTCCATAGTTTCTCACTTTCTTGCAGTTCTAAAAGCACATGATTTTACAGGTGCCCAGGGAAGACCTGTGCTGCTAAGATATTTTCTGACTCCCTCTCTAGGCAACCCCAAAGTTTCCCTTTTGTTATGTAACAATAATTAGAAAACTTTTATAGAGCTCTTACTATGGTATGTTTTGCAAGCATCATCTAAGTCCTCAAAGTGTTACAGAACTAAAGCTTAGAGAGATGAATTAAACTTACAGCCACAGAGAATTATAAGAATTAAGAATGAGGGGGGAAGTGAGAAGACAGTGGCCATCAAGGTGGTCCCTCCACTGAACAAATCCCAAAGTCCACCAGCCCTAACTCGAGGCTCATGCACTAGACTGGGTCAGTATGAGGCCAAGTCTGGACTGCCTGTTTTTTTAAAATAAAGATTCACTGAAACATAGCTACACCGATTTGTTTGCTTTGTCCACAGCTACTTTATGCTACAATGGCAGGAGGCAGAGCTGCATACCTTATAAAGTAAAAATATTTACTATCTGGCCTTTAACAGAGACTTTGCAAAACCGTGTACTAGATGTTCAACACTTTTAACAGAAAAGAACAAAACCCCTGGCATACTCGGGAACATCTTTTATGAAACGGACTTCTCTAGGACCATGAAATTTAAGGGAAAAAACCCCACAATTTGTTTTTCAACTAAAAAGCATAAAACTAAACAAGAAACTATACAGACATTAGAAAAAAGAGAGTGATTATGTTAGATTCTTACTGCTACATTCTTATAATTTTGTCAAACATCTTTTAAATGAGGTCTTAGATTTTACCCATTTTATACGGCGGGTAGGAAGAGGGCAGGCATCTTAAGCATTAGAATCTCGTTCTCTCTCTTTCCAGATACATACCTCAGACCCTGGTTAATGGTAAAAGGAGGACAGAGAATTATGGACAGAGAAGCTAATCTAATAACGAACTCTTTCTGATGCCTCTAACTTGTGAATATTTGTGCGGGTATCTCGTTTATTTTTTTTTAAATCATAGAGACAGTCATCTGTTGTTTGCAAATGTGGCAAATATACAACTTTATGAACTGATAAGTTCTTCCAAATAGAGATAAGATGTGTGTACACACAGACATGTATGTGCTTAATTTTGGGCAATTCTTTGAGGCATGTGTTAAGGAGCCAGGGAATGGAGAGAGATTCAGAGATGCACAAAGACACACTCTAGGGAGAGAAAACCTCCCCATTGCCCCTGGGCAGCTCCCTTGGCCCTACCCACCTGAGTGCCCAGAGCCTGGATGTCATGCTCAAATGTAGTGTGCATTCTCTGTAAGGTCTCCACTGTGTTCTGATCTCTCCCAAGCTCCTCAGGAAGTTTCTTGTGTTTGTCCTGTATGCGCCCAAAGATCTCCTTGGCATCATGGTAAAACTTATGGAGTTCATAGGAGGCTGCAAGAATCTGTGTTCTTGTGTCGATGAGCTCTAGGAGGTCAGCCCAGGCTTCATTGAGGCCGTCCTTCCACTCGGCGATGGTAGCGGCATCGGAGTGTCCAGAGTTGATGAGGTCATCTGCCATGTGATTGACTGTGTCCACACGTTCTTGCCCGATGTTCCCTGTGTCGCGGGCAAATTCTCGGAATCGCTCTTGTAACATCTGAAATAAGCATGTGCATAAAGAAATCAGTGAGACTGCTGTGAACATTTTATGTCTGGATCACATGAATGTCGTTTGGAAAAAAATGGCTTCTAAGCGAGTGTGATCATGCACTATTAATCTCTCAGAAGCAGTCATAACTTATACTCAGGACCGAAGAACAGCACATCTCACTTAACTCGTTGAACCTCTTATCAACCAGGTTTCCTTCTTCTTAGTGCAGCAGAGTAAGGTGCCTGCTGCACCTCCACCTCCTTTTACTACAGGCATGGGGGGTACAAGAGGTTAGTAGCCAACCTAAGTCAAAGTCACCGTTTTATAAAAAATACTACGTTGGACCTAGCCCCATTCCTGTTTGACTCACAGTGAAGAATGCAAGTGAGTTTCCACACCATCGCTTGTGGCACAGCCCCCCGTGCCCTGCCTGATGCACTTGCCGTGACGTGCTCGTAGTCCTGCCCCAGCTCGTGGGACCCTGCGACCACCTCCCTCTCGGCGATCCACTGCTCCAGGTCGTCCACCTCCCGGTTGAGCTGGAATAACCTGTGCCTCTCGTCCAGCTTCCCTCTCCTCTCTTCCGCGAGGTCCTTCAGGCCGGCGTACAGCTTATCCACTTTGGACTGCCGCATACTGATGCGCTCACTGAGAGAGGGGGAGCAGCAGAGGAAAGGGATCATAAACATCACTGTTCTTCCAGAGAGAAAACAGTGAGGTGGAGATAATGGGAGAGAATGTTACATTAACTTCTCAAGGAAACTCTGTGTAACCTACTGAAACTGAAAAATGAAACTCTGAAATTGGCCTCAATGTCAAGTAATGAAGAGCCAATTTGTAAACAAAACACAATAATCAAGGCCGAAGGCCATCTTGCACGTAATCGTGGGAGCTGGGGATGGAGTTGCAGGGAGAAATCCTAACTCTCCGCACCAATGAGACTGCAGATCAGGATTTCCACTGATGTTAAAAACTAATGCTGGCAGGGTATGGTGGCTCACACCTGTAATCCCAGCACTCTGGGAGTCTGTGGTGGGTAGAGTGCTTGAGATCAGGAGTTTGAGACCAGCCTGAGCAAGTGCGAGACCATGCCTGCCTTTCTCTACTAAAACTTGAAGAATCAGCTGGGCGTTGGGGTAGGCACCTGTAAACCCAGCTACTCAGGAGGCTGAGGCAGGAGGATCGCTTGACTTCAGGAATTTGAAGTTGTTATGAGCTAGGTTGATGCCATAGCACCCTAGCCTGGGCATCAGAGTGAGATTTTGATTCTGAAAAAAGTTAATTTAAAATCTAGGAGCCATCTTCTGTTCTTAGGTATGAGCTGCAGAGGGACAAGTGGTGCACGCACCAGACTCCACCTGCTAAGGCCCTGTGCTCTTCCCTGTCAGCACAGCTGGCCCAGCTGCTCCCATTTCACGGGTGCTCTGTGAGCATCCCCTTCCCTGTGACTTCTCAGGAGTGACAGTCTCAAAAAGGACTATCAGAGACAAAAACTTGCCAGTCCCTATCTTCGGAGACTAGAAACCTACTTTCCTGGGAATCCTGACCACGAGCATCTTAAGGACCTCCTGTACCAACACAGCCTTTGACCTTATTTCTTCCGACTACCCGGTTAAATACACAAGGCCGACTCTTTTACTGTCCTGAGTCATAAAAAGCAGTTTTAGAGAAAGCTTAAAATGACAGTTCTCAAAGTTAATACAGGAACCTGGTATACAGCTGGTGAGTACCACACTTCTTACTTTTTCTCAAAGGTGTTCTAAGCACTTGACGTGTCAGGGTTTAGAGGTGGTATCATTCTGTTCTTCCTGGGAGCTCTTTCATTTCATCTACTACTCCTCTTAATACTAATAACTTTCCTAAACTGAACGACTTTTCCTATCCAAGTGCTATGGTAATTACCTGTACCTGTGCAAATCAACTTGTATTTTTTTTTTAAATTAAATGTTAGCTGTGTACATTAATGCAATCATGGGGTACAGTGTGGTGTTTTCATATACAATTTGAAATATTTTCATCAAACTGGTTAACACAGCCTTTATGTCATTTTCTTAGTTATTGTGTTAAGATGTTTATATTCTATTTTTAGAAAGATTCACTTATACCCTTGTAAGATAAACAATAGAGGTGATCCCTCCAATCACCCTCCCTTCACTCACCCTCTCCTCGTCTCATATTCTTGGGCTATAATTGGGTTATAGCTTTCATATGAAAGCTATAAACTATTTTCATAGTAGGGCTGAATACACTGGATACTTTTTCTTCCATTCTTGAGATACTTTACTAAGAAGAACATTTTCCAGCTCCATCCATGTAAACATGAAGGAGGTAAAGTCTCCATCTATATTTATGGCTGCATGATATTCCATGGTGTACATATACCACAGTTTATTGATCCATTCGTGGATTGATGGGCACTTGGGCTTCTTTCATTAGGGCCTTGTCCAATAGGAGATAGTTAGGAAAGTGCTGTTGTGGGTTAAGCAACAGTTCACACTTTCTGCTGACCCCAGGCCTGCTGGTTCTGTTTTAAAAATGCTTCCCACAGCTGCACTTTTATCAGTGATTCTGATGAATGCTGCCATTTTCTTCTTGTGGGCTAGTGAGAGACCCTCACCCAGAGGAACTGGCAGCCCGGTCTCACGTCACTGAATGGCACTCACCTTTCAGGGTGGCTGTCAGCCACCAGGGCCCGGCTGGTTTTGGAGAGCTGATGCACCGTCTCTGCATAATCCTCCACAGCTTGCTCCAGGATCTGGTGCTTCTTCAACATGGAGACAGCGCTCTGTTCATCCTACAAGACAGGGGATGGTCACAACCACAGCTGTGCCCTCCAGCCCAAAGCCACCGTAAGGCGTGACAGGCTGACTGCAGGGCAGGGCAGGAGGAAGGACCAGCAGAAAGAAAGACACCAGAAGTGTGACGTGGGAGGCAGAAGCTTTCCAAGAGTCCATGTCTGGACTGGACCACGGGAGGCGTTATCAAAAGATGAACATGAGGGAAATGCAGAATGAGGAAGACCGCACTGAGGCAGAGAGCAAAGCTCAGGCGAACCAAGGGTGTCCTCACTAGCGGAAACCCTCTGGTCTGGCAGGGATGCAGACAACAGCATCGTGGACCCTTAAAATGCTTTTCAATGATCTCAGAACCATCTTGTATGTTGTAAAATTTAGGGAACCTACGAGTAAGGAGCAAGGACTCTGGCAACTTTCAAACATGACTGGAAGAACCCAGTCTTACTGACACACCAGGACTCAGGCAGGAAAGTCTGTGTCAAGGGAGAAAGAGCAGCCAGATTTCAGACACCTTGAAGTACCCTGGTGCCCCCTTACCAGTGAAAGGCAAAGGGGAAATCTTTACAAAGATAGGACCACCAGGAGAACACAAGCTCAGGTCCGAGTCTGCAGCATTCCTCGGGTAGGGATGCGCCCCGCCTCCTTCCCGGGAGAACGGGGCCCTCTCTCACCTTGGCCTTCTCCTCAGACATCATGTACAGCTCCTGCTCGCTCATCCACGCTTCAGCCTCGGCCGCGTCAAAGTAGTACTGCTGGGCCTTGTGCGCCTCCTCCAGCCGCCTGTGGCGCTTCTCTGCCTCCTCGATGAGGAGAGCCCACAGGTGCTTCAGGTCGGCGAGCCTCTGTCTGATGGTCTCAGCGCTGGGGCTGCTGCTGTCTGTCACAATGTTCTGGCTCCTCTCAAAGATGTCATCGATGCGAGGCTGGTGCCCCTGGATTTCTTTCTGGAGAGTCTGTATGTGGCAGGAAACACACAAGGGCTTGTTAAGGGGCAGCACCATGGTGTTTATGTCAAGCTGTTAGGGCCAGAAGAAATCACCAAGCCTTCACATTTTCTGTCTTATAACTTAGAGCAATTATTTGTCAGACTGAACTAGCTTGAGCAGAAATCCTTACCTGATTTTTCTTTATTAACAGCTGCACAGTCTGGAGGTTGTGACCGTGATCGGTGGAAGTTGCCAAAGGCATCCTCTCTCCAACCCACAACTGGAAAGAATTGTGAATAAATAATCAGAACTGGTCTGAGGAACACACATACCACATGAACAAGAGCAGTGAGTAAGGGAGAGCAGGGAGCTATGTTCAGGAGAGGGCTGGGCTCCTGGGAGGGCTGTCTGAGGAGCTGTCCTGCTCAGAGATAGGGGAGGGCTAGTTTTCCAAACTTCACTTCATCCTCAAGATCCAGTGTGCTGGATGCGCTCATTAATTACATTTAAAGTACTGTTCCAGGCTGGGCACAGTGGCTCATGCCTGTAATCCTAGCATCCCGGGAGGCCAAGGCGGGCGGATCGCCTGAGCTAGACTGAGACCCTGTCCCTTTAAAAAAAAAAAAAAAAGAGGCAGCACCGGTGGCTCAAAGGAGGAGGGCGCTGGCCCCATATGCCAGAGGTGGTGGGTTCAAACCCAGCCTCGGCCAAAACTGCAAAAAAAAAAAAAAAAAAAAAAGATAGCCAGGTGTTGTGGTGGGTGTGTGTAATCCCAGCTACTCAGGAGGCTCAGGCAAGAGAATCTCCTGAGCCCAAGAGTTTGAGGTTGCTGTGAGCTATGATACAAACGGCACTTTCCCGGGGGTGACAAAAAAAGATAACATGAGAGCATCAACGGAGCTGCACTTTGTGCAAGAAGGAAAGAGCCCTTAGAACAGTTGCTCTTAGCAACAAAAATAATTTTATGGTTGAGGGTCACCACAACATGAGGAACTATATTAAAGGTTGTGGCACTAGGAAGGTTGAGAACCACTGCCTTAGAAGGTGAGGAGGTCATGACTGCATAGCTCACCAGCGTGGCCCCAGGCAAGTGAGCACACAGGCTTCCAGACAGGGGAGAAGGTGTCCCAGCAAAGTGGCATGTGCAAAAAGGGTCTACTCACGATCTCGTCCTCCACGTCCCTATTGAACTGATGAATCTCTTTGGAAGCCAGCAGGTTATGCTTCCTTTCGTTCAAGGGCTCCAGCAACTCCATGAACTTGGTCTGCACAGTGAGGCGCTTGCTGTCCACCTCGTCCGTGCTCTTTCCCTCCTGGCTGAGGGCCTGGGCTTGGCTCTGGAGTTCTTCGATCTCCTTCTTTCGAACTTCCATCTGGTTCTCCAGCATCTGAGGGCAGAGAAGAAAAGCAGGTCTTGACACGTGGCAAAGACTGTCTTTTATAAGGACTGGTTCTAAGCAAAACTGCTGGGCCCACTGAGACTTGGCCACTACATAACCAGCCAAGAAGCCACTGGGAGCGTCTGCCACTGACTTGCTTTCCCAACCTCAATGGAACTGTTTTCCTGTGAGTTTGAGGTAAGTATATTTGCCCTTAGAGCCTTCTTTTGCAATATAAAACAACTGTGACATTACTTTTGTCATCAATTAAGTATCCTGAAAAACTCAGATAATTGTCACATATCAAGACCTTCTACAGCAACCTATGCAAACATTATTCCCTCATGTAAAATGCAGAATTGACTAACATATTTACTCAACTGTTAAATGGTGATAATATTATCAGCTGAGAAAATGGTATTAAGAAAAAAGCATTCCAATGTATAGACACCCAATACTTCTGCAAATATTGTGTCTTTCTACTTGATTCTGTAAACATTCCATGATGCTATCAGAGCTGTCACTTTGCTGGGCTAAAACTCTTTTCACAAGAAAGGCAGGTGATTATGGATACGGTGGGTAAGTAAAGACTATGAAGACTTTGGCTACAAAACAAAACCAGCTTGGGGGCACCTCGTCCACTTGCCTGCTGCTTTTTCAGAAGAATGTTGACGCTGGTAAGGTCTTTGCCATAGTCATCAGATTGAATCTGACTCTCCAGGCCATGCAGCCATTTGTCTAGATCTGCACAGCTCTGGGTGAAAAGTTCAGCCTTGTTTGCATCAAAGAGCCGCTGGGCCTTGGTCTGGGTGGTGGATTCAAGGACTTCCCACATTTTATGTAAACCAGTGAGTTTATCCTTCACCACAGCTTCTGTCTCGGGCTTTTCTGAAATGAGCTGCATTCCTTCCTGGAAAACACAAACCAGCACAGTTATAAATGGTCTGCTAAAGAAAAAAATGTCACTGTGAAAAATAAAGCTAAGATACTTGATCTGTGATTTACCCAATACACACACGCGCCTTTCCACATGAAGTAACCCATCAATAAAAGCAATAGTGAGCCAGATGTGGTGGCTCACATCTGTAATCCTAGCACCCTGGGAGGCCACAGCAGTGGATTGCCTGAGCTCACAAGTTCAAAACCAGTCTGAGCAAGCACAAGACCGTCTCTAAAAAATAGCCGGGCACTGTGGTGGGAGCCTATAGTCACAGCCATTCAGGAGGCTGAGGCAAAAGAATCACCTGAGGCCAAGAGTTTGAGGCTGCTGTGAGCTGTGACATAGCACTCTACCAAGGGTGACAAAGTGAGATTCTGTCTCAAAAAAGAAAAAAAAAGAAAAGCAACAGTGGCCTGCTCCATAGGTCTCAAAGGAGTTGAGCAGTAAGTGCTCCATGCTGAAATCGTTTCAACTGGGCAATGAGACAGTTAATGTAAAGAACCTAAGACTTTATCCCCTCTACTCCATGCCCAAAGACCATATGTAACGCATTATTTTAATCACTGAAAGTCCGAAACAATATAAAAAGCATGAATGGAGAGAAGGGAGGGTGAAGAAGTCCACACTTGCCTTCAGTTATGCTGCACAGAATCTGTGTGCCAAAAAGAATAGATTATAACAATTATTATGTGACTGATATACAGCAGTCATATAAGAAAAATAAGGAAAACTGAAAATACACAGTAGTTTAAAATGTATGCAACTATATCTGGTACATCTGTCAAAAAGCAACGTAAATAATATGGTCAGGATCATGGGGATGCTGTCGGGGTCCAGCAGTGGACGCAGCAGATGAGATGCACGACAGAAACTAAACGCCTGGTGTTCATTCTCAGGTCAATCAAGCACTCTGAACCACCTGGTTGGGTTTCTGCTTTTCTCCCTTCTGGTGGGTTGAAGTCAGAAACTGGTTAGTGGAAGGGATCGGACATCGGCTGTGTTACTATTGTAAATGATCAGATAAGACCCTAAGGTGTTGGAAAATATGCTAAATAAAAAGTAGCTCATTCCTACTCTATTTGTTTTACCCCAACCACCTCATGGACACGGCGCTCATCAAACATTTTAACTCACCTTCTCAATTTTGTCAAGCCACTCCTTGTTGGATGCGAGTTCTGCCATAAATGCTTGATGCTTCAACCATTTACTGTGCAGATTTCTGGCTTCATCGTAAGACATGTCCTGGGCTGTCAGCATCTTTTCATTGATCCAGAGAGACAGCTAGGGGCAGGGGAAATCAAGATTTCAAAAAGTGTCATCCTAAATATTAGCATTTTTTATGCCTGGAAAAGGGTGTACTGATGTCTTGTTATGCATCCTGTAAATGTTTTCACAGCAACAGATCGTTTTTTTTTTTTTTGTAGAGACAGAGTCTCACTGTATCGCCCTCAGTAGAGTGCCGTGGCATCACACAGCTCACAGCAACCTCCAATTCCTAGGCTTAGGTGATTCTCTTGCCTCAGCCTCCCGAGTAGCTGGGATTATAGGCGCCTGCAACAACACCCGGCTATTTTTTCTGCTGCAATTTGGCTGGGGCTGGGTTTGAACCTGCTACCCTCAGTATATAGGGCTGGTGCCCTACCCACTGAGCCACAGGCACTGCCCAACAGATGACAGATTTTTAACTTTACAACTCAGATCCATCAAGACAGGTGTCCATTCTATGGAGCTTATATCTCAGTTTTGCTCCAAACTCTGTGTCCAACACTCAATCCAGAAGTACAAAAGCTCTATGGCTTTCAAACTGCTTAGTACTCTTAACCAGTTTCCCCCTCAAAGGCTTTTGCTTAAAATTCTGCTCTAACCAGTCCAAGACACAACCTTCGTTCTCATTCAGATACCCGTGTCAGCTGTACCATTTTAATCATGACTATCTTTTACTCTATTTGGCAATCTTCTTTTTAGTTCCTTTTATTAAAACAAAACAAAACAAAAACAAAAACCAGCACACTGACCTACTCATTTATTCCCTCCACTTGCATGGGTCCATCTATGGGAATGCCAATACATAACTTGCTCACTGTAGGGCTAAGGCCTATAATGATGCCCTTTTGATGTTTCCTCCAAGTCCCAGTCACCTCTACCTCTTTTTCTATAACCTCTAGGTCTCCAAATAACCTTCCACTCAGACAGAACATTTAGCAGGACTTCATTTTGGGACCCAACATGTTTGCTTCGATCTGAACTCTGGGAAGTCATGCAAAGGCTGCCAGCCATAGACGGATCTGAGAAGGGAGTTCTCTTACCAGCGTCAGCCAAACACCAGGCTGAACCCACTTCTGCTAGCTTCCATCCCGACTGGGCCCAGGCTCATTATTGCCCACTTGTGCCAGGATGCCCCATGCCAGAGTCCTGATTCCCGATCCAGCCACGGTGCTACCCAAGGAAGAGCCTTCTGTTGGCTCAGGTCAAAGATACACAAAGGAATGAGGAATCAGATCAGAACTGGAAGCAACCATCCTCAATGAACATGTCCCTTCTTTCTTCTAAGTGCCTGCAAGAAGCCCACTTTTAATTGTCACTGTCACAACAAAGTTACACCTAAACTCCTTCATGGTTATATCTCCAAAGGTCTAGAAATAGAGTATACAACTATAGAATCCTTACAGAATCAACAGTTCCGAGGCCATTCACTTCCTCCGGGCTGCTGCTGGGAAATGCTTCCCCATAGATTCGATTCGACAACAGGTCTTTTCTTTAGAAATGATGTCAAGGAAGGCAAAGAGGTGAGTCACAGGAGCGCCCCTGGCTCTGCAGCAGGTGAACTACTACTTTTGGGCCCTGTCCCTACCCTTCTTGGGTTATTCACCATGCAGGGACATGGAGGAGGGGGCACCCAGATTTGAGGCATGAGATCTTTGAATTCATCTATTATTGAGGAAACACTAGCAAATCTCATAAAAGTCCTTTGTAATCAGTGACCATTAAACAGAAAGACACTAAATTTCCTACTGTGAAAGAAGTTCCTAGGTTCCAGTTATATGAGCAGGCAAAATCTGAGGGATTACGGCCAATCTGAGGGGAAAAAACAGTTAAAAGGACACCAAACAACAAAAATGTCCCTTGTATTCTACATACACTCTTTCTGTAGAAGGCACTTTTATTCAAAGCGCCAAGGACATTCACATATTTTCGCTATTTATGACCACCTACCCAGGAGAGATTAAAAATAAGAGAGCTACATAAAAATCAGAGGCTTATAAACAAATCTGCTCTTTGCTGAAACATCATCCTAGAGATAAAGCATCATGAGAAATGGCACAATGAAATGGATCTACAGAACTTGCTGGTTCATCAGCTCTTCATCAGCATTCTGGAATCACAGCTACAGTTATTATTTGTGGGCATTTGCAAAGGTCATTTAAGAATATATTCATTCTCTGCAGAAAAGAACACTATGCAGATTGGGAAAAGATAAGAAAAAATGCTTTGATCATTGAATTAGTCTAAAAGCAAAGTGCCAAAACTCACATCCCTGTGCTGGATGCACATAAATAGACTGTCCTTCTAGGGGGAGAGTGGAAGAGGGGGAAAGTTCCAGAAAACAGGAGGTGTACTGTGAGGGAACGAAGCAAAAAAGCAATACCTTCTTAAAGTATTCATTTTTCAGTATATCACATTAAAATAACACTACAAAGATTATGATGCTGTTTCTATCTCCATCTGTAACTGGGAAGAGGTAGGTCCCTACTCATTCCCACAGTATTGCTCATGCAATAGCTGTCCCCAGCAGGGAGCAATCTCACACTCTATAGCTTCTCTAGCCAAGCCACCTGAGGAAGGGAATCTGAAAATGAGACAAACCCCTGGATTCCCTAGTCCTTGGGCAACATCAACAGCCAGTAAAGGTATTAAATTTGATCTCCCAGTGCTCTCTATCCATTGGACTAAAATGTAGGGCTGGTCCATATACAAGCTCCACTCTTAGTAGCTCTGGCTCAACGGTGGTTGTATTTTAATGAGGCCTAATGATGGGAAATTCAAAGGCAAAGACCATATCGTCTCTTTGCTTGCATAGCTAGCTAAGAGTTTTAGAGCTGCTAAACCTGACCTAAACCCCATCATGAAGACACTGTACATGCTGGCAAGGGGCCCCAACACCTCCCAGTAGACACTGTGGCTATGCATTGAATGAAGCTCAAGGAGAGACAGAGAGAACCAGGCAAGAAAGGATAAACCGAGCAGAACAGTCACATGGAGGCCTGCAAATAATCCCCTGGACATAAAAAGCCCAGCCCACATTTCCTGCAAACTTGGAGGGGAAAATTGCACAGGACAGAGGCTCCTAGTCATGCGTGACGATCACGGGAACCCAGCCAAGGTGTGTGTTAAGGAGAGACTCCTTGTCACCAAGGATGCTAATTCAGAGCAAGTGGAAACAAAGGTATAAAAGACATACTAAGAACATTTCCTGTGACTCCACCAAGAAGGACTATTGTTTTATCTACTTTTTAAAATACATTTCTTTTTCTTATTTATTTATTTTTAAGACAATCTCTCTGTCACCTGGGTAGAGCGCAATGGCATTGTCGTAGCTCACCGCAAACTCAAACTCGTAGACTAGAGCCTCCAGCCTCAGCCTCCTGAGTAGCTGGGACTACAAGCAGGCACCACAGCACAGGGCTAATTTTGCTATTTTTGGTAGAGTCAGGGTCTCGCTCCTTCTCAGCCTGGTCTTGAACTCCTTAGCTCAAATAATCCTCCTGCCTCAACCTCCTAGATTGCTAGGATTATAGGCATGAGCCACCGTGCCCGGCCTTCAATATATTTCCTTTTATATATCTGTACATATGTTGAGTGGAAAAATAGCAGGTAGGAAATTCCAAATATAAACGGGATTGCCCTTGGCCAGTCGACTGCTCATTCCCTGGCATTCTCTTTCACTCCTTTAACCTGGGCTCCAGCATGGTTAGGTGAAGGAATTTTATCTTGCTAACTTTAAAAGCAGGAGCATGGGATCTCATTGGTCCCACAACCTCCAGGGCTGAAATTAAAAATGAGTCACTGATGGTGCTGCAAGGGAAACACCAAGGTGACATAGGGACCATCAATCTGTAGAAAGCACGACTCAGCTTGCAAACACCTCCCTCATCCCTTCTACTCCCTCCAATGAGAACAGCCACTCTCAGCATTCACTGTAGCACACAGCTAATCACAACTCCACACAGCTAACTTTAGATCCCATCACCCTCCTCTGCACCCTGTCTTGGGATGGGAATGCCTCTTTAAGTGAGCATCCTGGCTCGGCGCCTATAGCTCAACCGGTTAAGGCGCCAGCCACATACACCTAAGGTGGCGGGTTCGAATCCCCAGCCCGGACCCGCCAAACAATAATGATGGCTGCAACCAAAAAATAGCCGGGCGTTGTGGCGGGCGCCTGTGGTCCCAGCTACTTGGGAGGCGGAGGCAGGAGACTCGCTTGAGTCCAGGAGTTGGAGGTTGCTATGAGCTGTAATGCCATGGCACTCTACCCAGGGGCACAGCTTGAGGCTCTGTCTCAAAAAAAAAAAAAAAAAAAAAAAAAAAAAGTGAGCATCCTACCAGCTGGGTTACTAATACTTGCATGTCACTTAGAAGAGGCACTCCTGTCTTCAGCCTGTCTGGCTCGAGGCAAATCCCCCAAAGACCTAGATTCGTCAATGTGGTGCTTAAAGCTGACTGACCCTAAGCCACAGTTTAGGGGCTTTCCTTCTTAAGGTTTAACTTGAAAAGCACAATGCAAGATTCATAATAAGACGGCAGATGAACGGACATGGAGGACTGCCCCTGTCTGTCACAGATGATCTAACAGCTGTCACTAAAGCTCTATTTCTTTAAGCACAGGCAAACGTTGTGCGCAGGGCGTTTGTGATGACAGGAGTCACATTCTCCGCACCTGACCTGACCCTGCCCCCACACTCTTAATTCCTCAAGGTCCCTGCAGCTTCAAGTGGATATTCTTCATCCCGTCTTTTACCCACAAGGATATTTATTCTAATAAACCACAAAGGACAGAGTCTCACCATTGTTCTCTGGTAGACAGAGAAATATAATGTTCTCGCAATCTCACACATGTGAAGACCACACATGCTTTTGGTCACCTTTAGTTTTCAAAGTTTATGTATATACCAGGGAACATGAAATAGTTTAAGTATCATCAGATCAGTATCACATGTGAAAACCCAGTGTTTGCAATCAGGATGTGCAATCTCATGTGCTTTGCATATGAGATACACACTGAAGGGGTCTGAAAGATGATATTTTAAGGTTTTAAGTGAAAGAAACATAATTTCTATTTTTAAAATCTCTACTTCTTACTTGGTAGCAAGTTTCAGTTCCTTTTGGTTCTTTCCTTCTGTACCATTTAAATATACATTGCCTTAGGGAGTTAAAGTGTAACACTAAATACTTTTAGGCTGCAGAATATTCGAGGACACTACTATCCAACAGAACTAAATGAAATAGGTCTGTACTGTTCAATACGCAGCGGCTAGTTATAGCTAGCAACTGAGCACTTAAAATAGCTAGTATAATGGAGAAACTATGCTCTTAATTTTATTTAATTTAAATTATAATGAAATAGCTACATGTGGCTAGTGGCAACTATAATAGATGATGCAGTTCTATACTCTTAATGTTCTAGATTATAATCATCTAGTTACTCTAAATGGCTTGTAGGTTGGAGAACTAAAAAAGTACCACTTGTCCTTACCTGCAAATCAAATGGCTAATAGGAATTTGTGGCCTCATTAATTTTATAATCCAAAAGGCTCTTTTGCTAAATGTAGGCTAGCAATTGTTAGAAACCAGGAAGGGAGGAATTAAAGGTCAACATACCTCTTGACAATCTTGCAGGAATTTCTGAAGATCCCTGTTGTCCTTCAGTCTCATCAGAAGTTCACTGGCTGCCTCACGATTCTTCCTGTGTCTGTTATAATAACAGCAAAAATTGTTTTTGAAAAAGAAAGTAGAGAATCTTGAAATACAGAATTTATAAATTTTTTTTTTTTTTTTGAGACAGAGTTTCACTTTGTCGTCCTTGGTAGAAAGTCATGGCATCACAGCTTACAGCAACCTCCAACTCTTGGGCTTAAGCAATTCTCTTGCCTCAGCCTCCTGAGTAGCTGGGACCACGTGCCTGGTACAAGGCCCAGCTTTCATTGTTGTTGTTGCAGTTGTCATTGCTGTTTTAGCTGGCTGGGGCTGGGTTCGAACTTGCCACCCTCGGTATATGGGGCGAGTGCTCCACCCACTGAGCCATAGGCACTGCGCAGAATTTATAAGTTGAAATACAGAATTTACAAATAGGTTTCTTTCCTAGGTTTCCAGATATGCTGAAAAGAGTTTGCTGACAGTTCTCAAGTAAAAGAGACAAGATAAATAAGAGATTTAAGCCATGGTTCAAGAAAGACTCAAACACCTGTGTGAACTGCAGAGCAGGCCAAACACACGGTCACACAATCTGTATAAACTGATTTAGTGCTGGGGAAACTGAGTGTACACTGTGGACAAGTGACTGTACAGTGCTCAGAAACAAAACATACCCACAGGCGTCGCTGGAACCAAATGAACATCTTGTTTGGATACCTATAAGTGCTGTTTATAGTCAAAAGGTTAAGCACTGTGGGACAATTTGAAAGGTTATCTTCAAGAAACTATAAACTGGTGACACAAAGCTAAGAAAATATATATAATCATGTAACTGGCTTTCAATGAATGTTTATTGATAAACAGATACCCGTCTTGAAAAGAACTCACTCGAAGCAATAAAACAAATAGAAATGAAAATTATTAAAGCTGCCGAGATCACATACATACTTAATCTCACTTCTAATTAACAGGTAAGGGTAACTAAGGTTCAAAGAAGCGAAAACACAAACACTTACATAAAAATCTTTAAGAATTGAAGGACCTGCTGAACTCGGTAAATGATAAGGGAAAATGGGGCGGCTGGCACCCCAGCTTGAACACTGCACACTGAGCTCCTTCCCCACCAGGGCCACATGCACCCAGTGGAGCATGCAACGAGAATGTGTGAGAAGGACTAGGACGCCTTTCAATGGCGCCACCATTCCAGGAGCATCTGCTGAGGGTCATGACGCACTGCAGGGCATATACCTCTCTGACACGTGTACTCCTGAGTAACTCAGGCAACACGCAGGGCAGGAAGACAGGTAAAGGAAGAAAACACAGACGAGAAGAATTGGGTTTTTGTTCTGATTTTCAAAGCACTTTCTCACTTCCTGTGTCTGGACATACGAACAAAGTCTCTCCTCCATCCCCACCAGCCTCTGTGGCAGGGATGATAAAGAACACAGCCTGGGATGTGACAGTGCTGAGAAAGAGCAGCTCTGCGCACACATGCTGCTGCCTGATGTCTCAAGAAACCGCCCTAGGAGAGAGACCGCATGACACGTGTTCCGTGGGCCTTCAATAGAAGCTGATGAAACCAAGGACAGGAGCAGCGTCACAGCCACCATCAGCCTGAGGAGAAAGCCCTCTTTGCTCTTGTGGCTCCTGCAGGTACCAGTGGGTACATATTTGTATGTTACGTATAATTTTTGTTAAATATAATATATAAATTATAAATAGAAATAATATTGCCAGGTATGTATTTCATACATATGTGCCTTTAAATTTTCTTTGAAGTTGAAAGGGGTTTCATAGCTTTAAGAAAACGGATCTTAATATGTTTATACCACTTAGGTAAAATGCGAACATGAAAAAGTTACAAAGCTAAATGAAGAGCTTACATATATTAAATGATATAAAACCCTAAAACACATTAGAAAGCATGCACTGAAATGGCACGTGTTAGACAGGATTAAGGGAAGTAGTTCCCCCCCTCAAAAACATTAGAAGCACATCTAACAACAAAAAATAACAAAGGCCAGAGTCACTTTATGTCATTGTTATCTGTCATCTGAAACCAAAAATAAAAAATACATTAAACTAGAAGATTATTATCAATCTGGGCTAAAAAGAATTAGCCATCTAAAATTATGGGTGGGTAAGGAATGTCAAGAGAAATTTTTTAAGTCCCCTGCCCTCAATTCCAGCTGTATTTCTACAGGAGATTAAGAAAATAAACCAAATCTTCAGCAAATCTAACTCCAAATACAAGTCGGAGTTAGTGACAAAACGCAGGATTCAACGCCTTTAATCAAAGGCCTTGAAGAAAAGCTTCCGTTCCTTTCAGCAAGGCATCTCATCAAAGTGCTAGGATGGGAAGGAAAAACCCCAGATACCAGAAGTTAACAATAAATAGGACATGCGTCTCTGATGCTCATGGAAATAACAGAAATGAAAATAATGTCAAACACTGTCTAAGAAGATTTACTAAGGGAGAAATACAGCCAGACGAATCTGGAAATGTACTTCTTACATAATCAAGTCCCACGCATGCCCAACGGGTTCCTGTCCAGCGCCTCTTTCTGTCTCGTGGTGTACTCCAAAGGGTGTTACACAGCCATGTGGGCAGCTGGGACTGTCGCTGACTCAGAAACACTCGAAAGGAGTGAGTGTGGCTTCCTGGTGTGCTAGTGGCAAACCAAAGGCACTTATGGGAAGTGAGACTCAGGAAATTCTCTCAAGGTTGGATCATGGATTCAATCATAGGCAAGGGCCCGAGAAGGACCTTCTAAAACTTGGCTGTAGTCTCCATAGCTTTAAGAGTGCTCTTTGTTTGGGGCAAGGTTCTCTGGTTTTAAACATCTCTCATCTCCTCCCAACTAGACTCAACAGCTCCCTCACCACATGAAGCACATGCGGGGTGTAAACACTGGTCCTGTGAAAGCAAAGAATCTCAGGTACCCGAGTCAAACAGTGGGCTAATTTCTAAGCTGGTTTTCCCTTGTGAGACAGTCCTGCTTCAGGAAGCTGGATGCTGTCCCTTGTCCCCAGAGACTGTGCTGTGGCTGGAGTTTTCCTTCCTCATCTGTACCCCTGGGACAGGCTATTGGACAATAGCTGGTTTCCACACAGTCACAGGCATGCCAAAGGCCACTCGCGCCCCACCCACCTTTACTGCAGTCAGCGTCTTTGTCTTTGTTATGGTACTTTTTCATTTCAACTCAGGAGATTTCCTGAACGTAAGCACGTTATAATGACTTTACCTTCTACAAGAAGAGTTTCAGCCACAGTGTCAGAATGTTTCTGGTAAGGGGATTAGATCTGAAGGTTTAGATGTTTACTTAGCTTGTGCACCTACAACACCTGGAATTCGGAGATGTGGATATTTTTATAACAGACAAGTATCCTCTAGGGTCAGTTTCAGAGCTTGAAACCTCCAGGGATATTAAAGTGAAACCAGAATTCAGTTAACACCAACTGGGAAAGATAAGAAAATGGAGTTTTCCTGATGGCAGATCGACGGGAAGGCCCCTCATTCCATCTTTCTCCAGCTTACTGATGCATGGGATCCTCTTTACGTTTCTTTTGTAGAATGGAGAGATCCTAAGGATGCCCTAGAACTCCAGGAGCCCAGGCTTTCAGTTAAGGGCAAAAGGAAGGTTAAGCCAAACTGAGGGTGGCTGAAACATTCCCTAATGTCGGGAGTCCCCAGTCTTGACAGCATCACCTGCTTCCCACAACCCCATGCAGCTGCAGCACTAGGGACAAATAAATAAACCAAGGAACAGCATGGCAGCTGCACGCCTGCCTGAACTGAATGCAAACCTGCCTTCAGGAAACCAGCTGTGTGCATCTAACATGGAAGAATACAAAGTATCATATTTATAAAATAATGGTTAACAATAGGGGGAAAAAGGAATTATTTTCTTTAGGTTAAGAATGCCTTGCCCAGTCCTTGTTTCTCACACTCACTTAAGGGTCTGTAGTTGTCTTAAACGCAAAAGACACAAAACTATAATTAATATAAATTATGTCCACAGCAACACCCTTAGAACAGATGGCTTAGGCTCTGAATCAGTGAAGGAAAAAAAAAAGACTGGAAGTGCTAAAGTCAAGAGCTCAATCATTATGGGAAAAAAGACTTCTTCCGCTTTCCACCTCACACCTTATTTTAAATTAATCTGACCAAGGGTCCCAGGAGACCCTCTCAGACATGGTAAGCAAGGAATGTTCTCAGCAAGAAGTTCTTCATTTTCAATGCATTTGAAGGCCAGAGGAGAAGCCTCAAGGAAGAGCTTGTTCCTTGATGACATCAGCCTCACAATGAGTCCTTAGATCCAGCTCAGACTGGGACCAGAGAGGATCGGGTGGAACTGAGGCCAGTGAGCCAGACGAGCTGCCCAGGACTGAAGTGACCAGCCCAGAACTGGTCCATGCTGGTGCATCTAACCCTTGATCTGCTCTGACCTTCACCTTTACTAAGCAGGGTAGGGCAAGAGGAAGTGGTGAGTCAAAGAGTTATAGTCAAAGAGAGTACATTGGCCTCCAGCCAGGGAGAAAATCTTCAGATATGCAAAAAAATAAATAAAAAGAAAAGAAATTTAAGTAGAAATGAAAAAATGAACATCTAATCCTAGAGAAGAAGAAAACTGCTTTTTCTCTCATTATGAAAAAGAACCTATTACAGCATTATCCAAGCCAATTTTCTAAAAAAAGGCCAGATAATGGTGCTTTGAGGCTCTGCTAGGTACTCACTTCCAGTGAACCTCACCTTCCCTTCCCACTCTCTCCTGGCAGCCTTCAGAGAAATCTTATATGGATGAAGGCAATTGTGGACTTGGCTGGGAAAATGTCTGGCTCTCGGGGTCCCATCAGGTGACATGCCTGTGTCAACTCTCAAAGGGTGCTGCTTATACCCTATTGTTACACAGCAGCACAGCTCATACAGGTGTTGGATTAAGGATTAGCTTGGATTTTCAAGCTTTCTTATCTTTGTGGACACTTGTACGTGTCTTATGAGAACCACATTCTCTTTTCTGCTTTTTTTTACTTATTTATTTTTTTGAGACAGAGTCTCACTTTGTTGTCCTTAGTACAGTGCTGTGGTGTCATAGCTCACAGCAACCTCAAACTCTTGGGCTCAAGCAATTTCTTGCCTCAGCCTCCTGAGGAGCTGGGACTACAGGTGCCTGCTACAATGTCTGGCTATTTTTAGAGACGGGGGTCAGGGTCTTGCTCTTGCTCAGGCTGGTCTCAAACTCCTGGGCTTAGGCAATCAATCCATCCACCTTGGCCTCCCAGAGTGCTGGGATTACAGGTGTGAGCCACACTCTCAAGCAGCGACATGCTACTCTAATTTTCTGTGTGTGTAGGTAAGACTTTGCAGAGTACTTGTGTTCTGCCCATTGGGAAAGGATTCCCGGCCAACAATTCAGAAAGTTGAGAGTTCCAAGGTGGAAGACTCCCTTAAGAACTCAGAAGACTATACCTGTCGTCAATAGAATCCACCTTCTCCTGGATGCGATCTGAGTTGATGTTCCCGTCGCTCACCAGCCTCCGGCCCGTCTCCACAACACCATTGATCTTCTCCTCATTGGCGTCCATGGTAGTCATGAAGTCCTCCTGTTTCTTAATAGCTGCTTCAGCTCCTTCCAAGGTGGTGGGCATTTCAGTATGAGCCAAAACATACTCCTTATTTTAAAGGGGAATAAAAATCACAGCAGGATGACACATCTGTAGCAAGAACTCATTTTCCCATGTTCCATGCAACATACGTCACAACACTTGCTTCGTTACACTTTTATAAAATAATCTATTAAATCAGATAGAAGTAAAAGTAGGGAGAAAAAACCCAAATTTCCCCCAGAGCTTAAATGCTCTAAATGTTTTTCCCAAAGTGAGTAAGAAACCAAAGAAACCAAAAGCTTTGTGTATCAGCACCACCAGGCCTCTCATGTGCTCAGGAGGGCACCAGCAACACACCCTTCACATGCTCTTGTTTAAGAGAGGTTAACAGCCCTGTGGGATTAGTATCTCAATCATGAGACCATACTATGGACTTAAGAGGTCCTCAACAGTAGCTGAAATTGAACCCTATTTTTGCAAGGCAAGATAGCTCTTGGTAGAAATCTTCAATTCCTGTTCCCTATGTTGTGATGGGTTCAGTGCCATTGGAGTCAAGGGAAACAAATCCTCTAAATTATCCTTCTACTTTCAAACAGGTATAGTTTAAACCCACAGCCCTGGCCAAAATGTTTCAAGAGTCAATCGGAGTCTTCTCTGACAGAAGAAGGGAAGGCGATGACAAACGTTACCTGGTTGTTGAGAAAGGCCTCGGCTTGCTTTGTGTCTCTGAGGAACTGCTGGTAGGCGTGCGACTGGGAGAGAAGATTCTGCCGGTTCTCCCACATTTTGTGGAGTTCGTTCCAGCCGGTGTCCAACGCCTGTAGCCGCTGCCGCAGGAACATGTACTGGGCGTCAGTCTGGCCCTGGGTGACCATCTCGCCCATGTCCCTCATCTTCTGGTAATCCTCCTCGTAGTTGTCAATCTCGTTTTTGATGTTCTCGTGCTGCGTGAGAAGCTTCTCTGCCTCCGTCAGGGTGTTAGGCATGTCTTCTGAGGCGATGGCTGTCTGGGTCCTGGAGAGCCAGGACTGGAAGTCATCCAAGTCCCGCAGGAACTGCTGCAGCTTGCTGGCCTCTCCCAGGGAGGCCTCTCGGTTCTTCAGGGTGGTCTTCATCTCCTCCCACACGTCGCTGATCTCGGCCAGCCGAGACAGGATAGCTTGGGCCTGGTCTGGGTGCTCAGACTCCAGCTTCTCTGCCTCCTTCTGCAGGTCGCTCAGCTTCGCCTCTATGGCCACCAAGTCCCGCTCCATGCCGGTCAGCTTGCGCTGCAGGGCCATGACGCCGGCCAGGTCGTTACCCAGGTCCTGGGTCGACTCAATAACCTTGGTCTTTTCCCGAATCCAGGATTTGGTCTCATTGCACTCGAGGTGGTAGTTCTGGATGCTCAGGGCAGACAGAAGAGCATCCTTCTTCCTGTCGACCAGTTCTCTGAACTGGCTCCACCTGTGAATGCAGGAAAGAGAACGCAACATGAGGAAGGGACACTGACTGTGTCTAGACAAGGAGCTAGACAGTCACGGTTAATGCTGCACATTTGCTTTCTGTGTTTGGACCATCTGCTTTTTGGAAAATCACCTCCCTCAGTATGTGAATGCCAAGTATTAGAGAAATGGCTCAAGGATGTAATGTAATCTGGAAAAAGCCTTTCAGGAAGAGGGATGTGTTGAGAGTTCCAACGTGAGCAGCTATAACATATCTGTCCCCATAGTTGAGTAACAGTCTATGTCTGTCACATTTTACTCACCTCTGAACTGCGCTTAAGAACGTTTTCCAAATCTAAGTAACCTTCAGAACCAAGGCCAGCTGGCAACCACAACCAAACTCAAACATGTTTGTTCAACACAATGATAAGACCAAGACCAAGACCAAGGTCTGCCCTGACAATCAGGATTTTCACTGGCAAAGTCAGTCCGAAGCGTGCTATTCAAAGAATCACTTCTAAAGGCATAGCACAGTTACCACATTAATGCTTTCTGCCATGCTGGGCTGAGGCCACATCACAGCCCTAATTCTGATGTGGAGAGGGGCAGGTGCTGGGTTGACACAGGTCTCTTCCTGTCCTCAATGACACTGACCCAAGACACGTCTTACAAAACCGGGACATGTTGAAAGGGAGACATGAGTGACATGACATCAGTGTCATGATGCCAGTGACCCTGCCCAGGAAGCTCCTGACCCTCTCTAGCCCCACACAATGCAGCCAGCATGCTGCTGGTCTGACACTCACCTCGTGTTGAGTTTGTCCTGCTGGGCTTTGATTTCCTTCTCACTCGGGTGGCCACTGTGCATCAGCTGGCGTGCGATCTGGTTCACCACTGCCACCCGGGAGGCCTGGTTGTTCATTTCCGGTTCGAGGCTCTCAAATCTGAAAGGGCAGTTCAATGGGGATGGTCAGCGCCTTAACCCCTGGTGGTCATGGGGGGAGGGCCAGTGCCCAGCAGTGCCCGCTCACCTGTGTTGGATGACCTCCAGGTCCTCCAGCTTCTCTGGGATCTGCATGTTGTTGAGCCACTGCTCCTTCTCATCGATCCAGAGCTCACAGGCATCAGCCTCACTGAACATCTTGTAGAGAGCCAGGGTGTCCTGGAGCGCCTGCTTCCTCAGCCGCGTCAACTCCGCCACCTCCTTGTAGCGCTCCTCGATGCCGGACAGCCTGCCCTGCACGTCCGGAGACTCTGCGTGCTCCTGGGGGAGGGCGCCGGCCTGCTCGTGCAGTGTGTCGATGGTGGGTCTGTAGTTGGCGATCTCTTCCGCCACATCCTTGTGTTTCTTGACCAGAGACTGCGTGGAGTATTCGTCGTGGCCGACGTCACTGCTGGAAACGATCTTGAGGATGTCCAGCATCCAGGCGTCGATGTCATCGGCATCGGCCTGGAACTGGTGCAGCAGCGAGGCCTCCTCCAGGCGTTTCTTCCGAATGGCGGAGAGCTGCTCCAGGTTGGCCCACTGCTCCCGGATGTAAATGATCCTTTCACGGATCTTCTCCGACCCAAAGTGCTCCTCGGCGATCATGTCTTCACCTTCCTTGATGGCCTGCTCGAAGTGGCCGCTGCGGCCACTCATCTCGTCCTCGAATGCCCGGTGCTTGCTGAGCAGGCGCATGACACTGGTCAGGTCCTTCCCATAATCGTCGGAGGACAGGATCTTCTCCTTCTCTCTTATCCAGCCTTCCTCCTCAGCCATCTCCCAGAAGAACTTCCAGAGGCGGCGGGACTCTTCCAGGCGGGCCCGGCGCTCAGCTGCAAGCTGGCAAAGCTCTTGATAACAGAACTCCATGTGGGCCACGCGGTCCCGGATCACCTGAGGGTCGCAGGGCTTGTAACCTGTTCACACCAAGGAACAGATGTGAGAGTGACCAAGCAGTAGGGGCCTGATCACCTGCAGGAAGTAAGCTGCACCCCACGCTCTTACTGTGGGATTACCAGTTCACTTCAAAATCTAAACACAGGGTGTGAGGCCACCAGCACCTTCTAGACTCTTGATTGCAAAGGAAGGCGCAGTGATAGGTATTATTTTGGCCCAACTGCAGAGTGATCACTTACGAATAATGAAAGCACGTGAGTCATATAAAAGAAGGTGGCTACATTTAACTGAAAATGTAAGCGGCAAAACCAAATCATTCTAAATCATCTTCAAACAGGTACGCGCAGCCAGCTGTGACAGCCAGGAGCTGCTGGTGCACGGCCAGAGTGTGGTCTGGCAAACTTGCACCGCCAAACATCAAGCCACTCAAAGCAAAGCAGAATGTTGAGTATTTAAGAAAAAGATGTGTCTGTTTCAGAAAAACAAGACAGAATTTGTGCTCACAAGGCCGCTGCTCCATGACACAGTAGCAGACAAACCCATCATTACCCACAGTAGTGCAGCAACTTAAAAAGCCCCACTACCACACGCTCTGGGGACCAGGAAGGAAAGCTTAGAATGGTCCATCCTTACCTTCCCCATCTGTTGCAAACTTCTGGGCAGAGGCATTGACACCTCTCACCCGCTCTGCCTGGATGCCAATGTCTGCTTCAACCAGAGCGTGCTTCTGTAGCAGGTCTTCCACACCGAGCAAGTGCTTGCCATAGTCTTGAGACAGTAATAGCACCTGTGCACAAGACGAAACAGAAAGGACATCTGTGAATATAACCTTGACTTCCACACCACATTATCTTTGGACAGAGAGCTGCATCTTCCCTCTTGCCTGCCAAAGACCCTATACCTCCCAGGGAAGATGATGGCAAACAAACCAGAACAAAACAAATCAAACCTGAAAGCCAGTGTCGGGAGAGACACAGTAAACTAAGGATCATCTACCTCAGAAGCAGCAAGACAAATACAGAATAAAATAAGTGAGGCTTCAAGAAGAAACTGCTGAAACAGCTTTTCAGGAAACTCTGAGGTAAAGAAAAGTAACAGACTCAGACACTTCAAAGCTTAAAAAAATCTTTTAGAAGATTCCTGGTCCCTTAAGTGGATGCTTTTCCTCTGTTAGCGATTTTAATGGCATGCGTCTACCACACTCACATAAACAGAGAAGAATTGAGCTGAAAGCTTACAAGCCACATCTTTAACCTAATTAAGGAGAGCAGGGTCAGGTGGCTGCCATGCTTACTAGACCCCAACCAACTTCCTGGGTTTAAGTTTGAACCCACTAACATTTTCTTTTTTCTTCCATCAGTTAGTCAAATTTGGGAGCCTCATCCTAAATTCTCTGCAGGTGAAATTTCTACTTCCCTCTTCTAAGGAAATCTCTGAATCAACCTGGATTAGAATAAACATCATGATTCGTAAAATGAAAAACATATCTGCTACATTTTTATGAGCATTTCTATTTTAAGAGGTCAAGACAGCCCATACTTAAGAACATCATAAATCCAGGACAATGGGAGAGAAAACTGATGCTATCAGGTGACCTTGCCCCTCTGCCAGGAATGGTTCAAGAGCGCTAAGCAACAGACCAGGGCTCATATCCTGGGAAGGAAATCTCCTGCCTAAGGTCAAGCTTGGGAACACAGTGTGCAGAGACAAGAGGCTCCATGAGACTGTCTGAAAACTGCCCCATTCTAGCTACAAGACTAAATGCAGCCCAGCTGGAGAACTGCTTGATACGGATTAGCATTCTGTGGCCTGCATCAGAGAACATTAAAAAGGCACAGGCCTATGGCATGATGGCAGGAGGAAAGCCGAGAACTCTGTGCTCAGAGCTGGCATGAGCAGCCAGTGCCATCCGCTGGTCCTATGATCTGTACACGTTACTGTACTCTATCTTTCTAATAATAAGATATGGTAGGTAGACAGTTAAGTATGATCGCCACCTAAAAATGAAGACAGGAGGAGGTACAAAGAGATCAGGCATTTTCGGCTCCGGTCATGTGGTGCCTGACCTGTGCTATGTCCACACCACCTTCCACTTCCTTCCTGGCCCTCCTCCCCAAAGCAGCGTAACTCACTCAGAAAGATCAGTAAGACAGAAAGCTACTCCAACCCTAGAAAATTAAAAACAAACCACAATTTGATTGATTGCCTATATGGAATGCATCTAAATTAGATCTTAATCATAGTAGCTGACCTCTGGCTAGTGAATTGCTCTTCATTACAAGTTTTTCACCTTTCATGTCTTATTTAACTTGTGAGCCAACAATATTCCCATGGGTAACATGGTCCCTCTGATTTTACAGGTGGGCAGTTAGACGAGCAGCACAATGGTATGACATGACATGACGTGGGATTAGTGGATGGGTTCCAAAACCCAGAGGTCTGGTAGGACAGCTCAGGTTTTACCTTCATTTCATCCATCCAGTCCATAATGTAGAGCATTTCCTGGAAAATCTTCTGCAGCCCCAGGTTCATCTCGAGCCGCTGCCTCCGGGCCCTGAGCAGCTCCAGTAGGTATTCCCAGAGCCGGATGACATTGTCCTTCCTCGCTGTGATGCGCTTGATGTCATGGTAATTCTCTGCCTCGAGCTCCCTGGCCACGGCCACCACAGCCTGCACACGCTCCTCGTATGCGGCAATGTCTGTCTCGATGGCCTCGTGCTTTTTTGTGGCGGCCTCAACTGCAGGAAGGTCAAACCCGAAGTTGTCCTACAGAGAAATGAAATAAGCATAGAATTTAAAAGTCACTCAATCTAAGAAAAGAAACAGAGAACAGAGGTGAAATCCTGAGCATACCTTCATCCCGGTGGTCCTAAAGCCAAAGCTGACTCCTGTGGCCTCCCTCTCCCAACTGGTCTCTGCCTTGAACTCAGGTGCCCTTTCCAAAGGCAGCCAGCAACTTCTCATTTTGCAGAGGGGCCCAGCTCATATCTAGCACCTGACTTAAGAGACCGAGCAGGTGATAGCTTATGTCAAGCCAAGTAGAAATGAAAAGCCTCTTTTGTTTACTTCACAACCAGTCTAACTGCCTTGAAGGGTTAGCTGGTCAAAGAGTGAGGCAAAGAGAGGAACGGGTAAAACTTACATAAATGTGAATGGTCCACACACACTCACTGGCTCTAAACAAACTGATTGAACTGCTTCCAAATCCATGAAAAGTTAGATAAATAGAAGAGAAAGCATATTAGAAATTATAAACATCCTTTTCATGGGAAGTAGGCGAGATGACCCCGCAGTTACTTCAGAGTAACTGAAGACTGATGGGCAGATGTCTTGTGGCCCTGCGGCCCTTGGGTACAGTCTACATTTCCAGGTTACCCCAGCTGTGGTTTCTTTAATGATGTCAAGAGCAGAACCTGAGACACCAGACGCTGGTTTTCACTCAGCCAAGTCTCCCTCATAGCTGCCTTGCGATCGAATCTGCGGGCGAGCTGTTCCAGTTTCTCCTGACGTATGAGCTCGTTTCGCAGGGCCAGTTCTCTCTCATGTTCCGCTTTTTCCAGTCTTTCCCAGGCCTATATGAGTGGAGGAGAGAAACAATGTTCAAGGAACCTTTCTCAGTTACAGCTAACAGCTACTATTCCTCAAAAAGAGCTGAGGACTTAAAGGGGAAATCCCATTCCCACCCTCACTGACTCTTAGGCCTTGAGAAAAAATATTTTTCTCTCGGTGTAGACTCATGGAGATCTAAACCTTAAGTTCCTGTGTTTCACTTGAAAAAAAAAATACCTATAGATATGAAGCAATTATAAATCTCTTATTTTAAGAGGAAATAAATTATCCTAAATAGCTCTGATCATACAAAATAAATGAGAAAAATTATGAATCTCTTATTCACTCCACCATGAACCACTTATAAAAGATTTATACATTTGATTATTTCTTTTGAAATCCTGACCAACTGCCCACATTACATCCATCCCTATAAAATATGCCTGCCGCCACATTAAAAAAATCCGAACATTCCACTGACAGGAATCTAAGTATGTACAACTGACCACAGAATTCTAGATTTTCTGAATTTCTAGCCAGAAATAATGCCATTGTGAAATTCTATAATTGCCAACATATAGACAAAGTAATGAAAATTGATTTTTGAGAGCTTCCCTGATGGAAGGAGCCAACATCCTAAGCCCCACAACTTCTGGAGATTCCAAACACATGAAATAGAGGTTTTGATTTCTCCTTTCTGTAATTTATAGAGGTTTGAGATGACTGCCTGGGACAGATGAGAGTAAACTAAAGCATATTTAAGTAGCAAGGTAAACAGCCTGAGCCAAAGCTGGTTTGATAAAATCTAACTGTGCTCCCCTTAAAGTCCCCACCAGACTGGCCTACCTCAAGTACCTGCTTGGCCCTCTGCCACACCTGAGCACCAGCTGCCGATTACCAGGTTCAGCAGGCAGGGACATACCCTTTCAGTCTCCTGTCCTCTTAGCTATCAAGACCCAGGGACGGATCCTGAAACCTACAAGGCCTCAGGAGGACCCAAAGGCTTTTTACCTTGTTAATATCAGAGATGAGCTTCCCCTCCCGGGGCATGTAGACCTTCTGGTTGTTGGCCCTCATCTTGCTCTGAATAGTGAAAAGCAGCACTTCCAAGTTCCCCTTCTCTGTAAATCTAGCAAAGAGGAAAAGGGCCATAATCATTACCTACTATAGTTTGATCCTTTGAAAAAGTTCATTTGTTATTGGAGAAAGAAAATATTTCATATAGTCATGCAATTTTAAAAGCCACTGATCTCTGGTCTGATTTATGTGAAATGCATGTCAGAGAGACAGCAGCAGGTTAGTTACTGGGTATTACAACCCTTTAAATATGCCAAATGGTGGGACTGTTTCTGTGGTTGTTTGTTGTCCGTGAGATTTATATTTGAGGGTGTCAAAGGAAAATGGACTTACTTCACCCACAGAGCACAGCCGAGTGCCGTCAACAAGGGTTCTGTCAAATATTTGATATAATTTCAATGGGTTTCAGAGACCTCACTAAGGAATCCACAACTGAGCGGAGCTTCCAGAAAAAGAATGACTTTGAAACTATGGTATGCAAGAGATAAAGGCCCACCATCCTCCTTCAACAATTATGAACTTGAATTAAAGTACATAAAAAAGAATCAAACTTTTGGCCAGCAAAATCTGATCTGAACTGTTATACAACTAGTCTCTCTTTTAATCTAGCGCAATGTGAATATTTACACATTTTGCTACAGGTATTAGTGGGCTTGGTTATGAGTTACTGCCTCAGACCCACTGGGGCTTTTGTATTAACAGAACATATGCACTGTGCCACTTTTCTAAAAATCCAAAAAATATGGAGGCTGTAACATACTAGCACAAGGGTTTTGGATAATGGACTGGAGACCTGTACTATTTCTTAGTATTCTTATGTATCCTGTACATCACAGGCACATTTCTATTATAAACAGCTCAGAAGAGGCATGATGTATGATAAATCTCAACAACAGAGAATCATATGAAAAAGGGTAAGACAGGCCAGTGGTGAGAGACATTCGAGTTAAGAGCTGAGGTCACAGAGGTCACAGGAGTCTGTTGGCTACTCTGACCTCTCTTCCCATACTGACAGCTTCTCATTACAATCTGCTTCTTACTTGGGTGGTTTCTCCACAGTGCGGTAAGTGTTGAATGCCTGAAGCTGTTGCTGAACCCCGACCAGTGAATTGGCAAATTTTCGATTGTTCAGAATGATGATGGTTTGTTCAATCCACTCGAGAAGGTCGGAGGCAAGTGATTCATACTTTTCGATCATTTTTTCTGTTTCAATAGCATTGTCAAGCACCTGCACACGAGAGTTAGAAACAACGAAAAGATGGTGTCACCGCGGGAGTAAATGTCGGGGCAGCCCTGTATGAGCAAGTGCACTGTCATGGCTGTCTTTGAAATGACTCCATCTGGCTTCAGCATGAGCATGGTAACTCAAAGAACCATTTGCTAACATGCACCCAGACTGGTTTTTTTTTTTTTGTGGTGAGCAATGACAGCTTAACTGGACTATAATTGGTTCTGTAACCTCCCAACCCCCAGGCAAAGAATTTCTGAATGACTTCTGTAGCTTAACCTCTGAAATTCCTAGAAAAAGAAAAAGGGCTCTAAATAGCTTGGTCTTGTCCCATGCATTTTCCATTCTATTACGTACAGGGTGTGACAACGTCATCTGGTCTGAGATGTTTTGAAAAATACAGCAGATGAACGAACACTGGCCAAAGGAGAAGTGAAAGTAAAAAGCCTAACACCAAACCTTTTCAACTGTGTTGTAAGTAGGATTTCATATCCATGACATTAGTCAATTCAGCCAGATTTCCAATACCCAATTTTCTGGACTGGTTGGGGAGAGAGGTTTTCCCGGGTCTGAGATACCCCCTCAAATCCTTTCCTAAATATTTCAGCCACTGCTCCTCCCTCCTGTTACCCCTGGGATGAAGAGGCTTCTGCCTACTTTCCTGTGACTCTCGGGGGCTGCCCCAGATTGGTGTTGGCAAGCTTCTTACAAAACTGCGGTGAGCTCACCTTTCCAATTCGTTTTCCTTCAACAGCCAAGGCCTTCATCTTAGAGAAGTAGTGGTAATAAGTCACCACATAAGTGATAATGGACTTCTCATCAGGGTGGTCCACGCTGATGTCTGTAACCCAGAGAAGATTCTGCTTAGGGGCGCTGCCACTGTGCCCCACCCAGGCAGTAGCAAAACCAGAACAACTGTCTGCCAACACTGAACAGCCCCCCACCTTCATTTTTTGTATTTGCAGGTTCTGTCATCAGTGCATTAATTACAAGGGCCATAAGGATGAAACCATCTCACTGATCTGTTTCTCATGTGAATATTCACAAAATGCCTTCTGCAGGCACATCTTTTTCTTCCCCTTGCCCCTACTTTACCAAACGGGGTTTGCGTTTCTTAAGTCCTCATTTCTGCTTCTGGCACCAGCCTCTCAGTCTTTGGACATCTTTATCGCCTGTTACTCATATCCAGATGGTCACTGTTCTGAATCTGGATGGCTCTACTTATGCAACCCTATTGTCACTTATGGTTCAGACTCCCAGCCCCACAACCTGAGACACGGCTCCCTCACGGCGTCTGTCTACTACTCAGTTCACTCACGTGGTGCCCCAGACTGATCTCCCAGAAGCACGGTTGTGAACACATTTCCTCCTACCTCAAAATTACTCACAAGTACCCCTCAGTCTGAAGAATAAAGTATAAGCCCTCTAGGCCTCTAGAATCTGGATGCAACTTTCCTTCCTTTTTTTTTCAATCCTTCTATTCCACAGATATTTACTGTGCTTCCTCTTAAGTGTCAAGCATTATTGACACTTTTAATCTATGTATCTGATCCAGACTTGACTCTTCTCCATTCCCCTTCCCCATCCCAATTTCTAACATGCCTCCCTTCACAACTTCTCTTTGCCTAAGATGGTTTTCCCTACCTCACTACTTTTTCACCATCCTTCAAGGTCCAGCTCAAAGTCACCAGCCCACCAGCCCAATACAATGGTTTATGATCCCTAAAGCTGGTGGTACTGTCTCCCTCCTCTATTCCCCTGGACTTTATATGGACACACAGCTCACTTTCTACCAGGCATTATGATTCTTTATGCCTGTTTGATTTGCCTTTTAAGATTCAGTCCTCGGGGGCAAGCCTGTCCTGCCAAGCCCCTGTCACTCCACCTACCATCTTCCTAGTGTGCTGTCCTACACAATGTGGGTGGTCAATAAAAATCTGTTCAGAGAACAAATATGATCTTAAAAAAAATGATTAGTCTTTGAGGTATAGCAATATTCAATGAAGTGCTCAACTTGGGATAGACCAGCAGTTCTCAACCTGTGGGTTGCAACCTATAGGAACTGTATTAAAAATGCGCCGTAGCATTAGGAAGGTTGAGAACCACTGGGATAGAGTGAGAAGAAAACCCACAGGACAGCTCTTATCCTTAGAGCATCAGGCTCTTTTTCAAGAGGCTCTTTTTTACAGGCTCTTTATACATTTACACATACACCTTCATCTCTACCCCCAACCCTCCCCTAGCCCTGTATGAAGCAAGATTCTTTCTTGTATTTTAAACATAGAGCGCTAAGGCCCAGTGCTGGGCTGCTCCCCGCCTGGGGTCACCAAGGCAGCCAATGGTGGAAGGCCAGAATCACAGCTATAGTTCCCAGCCTAGGGCTTCTGTGTCTGTTCGGCTCCATCAAAGTGTACGCCCAAAGGAGAAAGAACTGGAGGATAGCCAGAAAAGAATGCCAGCCTTGTTTCTCTTTTAATCAACGCAAAGTGTCAGTGCAACTGCAAGGAGCGAGCAGGCAAAACTTTTTAACTTGTCTGCAAGTATTTTTTAAGTGCCACCCTTGAGAGCACTGACTACTACTAATTAAGATCAAACTTTAAAAGATAAGTGACACCAGCTGCCTTTTTTAGCTCTCTGTCTTGTGATCTGGGGAACATCAATCCCTTTTTCATACCAGGCAGTGATTAGAAAGCTTAACTAATGAGCAAGTTATTAAAAAATTTCGCTACTGTGATAGAAAAAAAAAGATTCTTTATCAAAAGCACAATGAACTAAGGCTAAGGAAAAATTCCTTCCCATAATAAGGTAGGGGTAAAGCACAAAGATTTGTCACAACCCAAGGAATTTTTCTGTTTATATTGAGAAATCATTTAATGAGTTAGCACAAAGATAATTTTATCTCAGCTTCCTGTAGCGAACATATCAGTGAATCTCATGCATTGGAAAATAGCAAGAATCCTGCCTGGCAGCCTCATGACCTCGATACGCCCTTGGGGAGTTAAACTTCCTGTTCTATATTTATAAGAACTTTAAACTTTCACTCACATACACTTGGGTTTTTTTCTCTCGTATTTGCTCACAGTTGAGGGGATCTACAAGCCTACAGCACTATAAACAAATCCTCTGACATTTTAAATGCTTCTCAAAATTAGAAAAAGTTCCTCTGAGAGCTCATATTGAAATGAAGCCTAGAATTAGGATTTTGTTAAGCAAGGGAGCTATAACCTGGGGGCCTGCTCCACACAGGTCAGCTCCATGCCACACAGGGACGCGGAGTGGAGGGATCAGTGCTGTGCAGAGAACGGGATGTGGTCAGCCACGAAGGACAGAGAGTGCTGCTCCTTCCTCCACACTCCCCTTTCTCATTCACGCTCATACTTGCTCACAAGCAAACAAAGCAGTCTCCTAACAAAGTCCCTGCCTCCAGTCTCTACCCATCCAAAACTAAGCTGCTTGCCACCTTCAGAAGAATGCTGGCCCACAAGCACTCACTGAGAACTGATGCCAGGTTCTCTACTTTGAGCACAGCTGTTAAGAAGCTTCAGTGACTCCCCACTGCCTGCAGAATAACCTCTACAAGTTTTAGCTTGTAAGCAGCCCCCATTCACCTCTCCTGTGGTATTCCCTACTGTTACCCCATTAAACACCTTTCACGCTGGATTTCTGGTCTTCAAATTCACCTTTCTGTTTCCTGGTTCTACACCTTTGCTTGTGAGTCTCTCATGCAAGAATGACCTCTCCTTCAGATGCTGCTTAAACCATACTCATCTTTCAAGGCCTTTTCTAATGTTACCCTTTCTACAAATCCTCAAATTATTTTCATAACCAACATGAAGCTCCTCTTCCTTTGGTAATTCCCAGAACATGTTGTATAAATAAAACATACAGACACAAAGCAGATGTTACAGAAGCTAAAGGTCCCAGCTTTTTCCCCTCGAGTCCTCACCTTCCGGGTCCAGCAGTTTGGTGAGGCCCAGGTGCTGCTCTGCCAGGTTAAATGCATTCTGCAGGTTGTAGTGTGCATTGGATTTCTTTAGTTTGTCAAAATCTATCAGGTCAGGCCTGTGCAGAACGACAACAGTGGAACATAATATAAGTCATGTCACTAATATGATGCAATTATTACTCCAAGAATGTTACAATGACCACTTAGTGGAAAAAACTCTAAAACATAGAGCGTGCCACAAAAGTATATACATTTTAAGAAACACTGAATTAAATTTGTAATCCTCTAATTATGTTTGACTTCTGTGATTACAAGAGCTGTTCAACATGACTTGTACATAGTATTCATCTTTTGTTATTGGTACATACCGAGTATTACAATTTTAATACAGTTTTTGGTACCCTCTGTATTATGAAATCATCAAACAATGAAACTGATTTTTAAATAAATACTTCTAAGTTTACTGAGAGAATAAAAAATAATGAGGAACTTGTTTGTTTGGGAGAATTTACATATTCTCCCTTGTTTTCCTCAAATGGAAATATAGGAATTTCCACCATGGTGCCCTTTTAAGGCAATAGATATGAGAATCAGAAGTCACCCAGATGTGCCAGAGAAGAATGGCAACATTCTGAAACCCCACAATTGGCAGCATGACCTCCATGGAGTTACCGGTGTTTGTGGATCAGCGCATTGAAGGCCATGCCGTCCCTCCAGCTAGTGGTGAAATTGTGAATGTTGACATTGGGGTACCTGCCAAGGACAAACAAGAGAAAAACAGCACAATTACTAAATAAAGGTTCATATTTTGCTAAATGTAGCATTTTTCAAAAAGTTGGGGTTGTAGGGCAGTGCCTGTGGCTCAGTGAGTAGGGTGCTGGCCTCATATACTGAGGGTGGCAGGTTCAAACCTGGCCCCGGTCAAACTGCAACAAAAACCAGCCAGGCGTTGTGGCAGATGCCTGTAGTCCCAGCTACTTGGGAGGCACCTAAGCCTGGGAGCTGTGATGCCACAGCACCCTACCAAGGGAGACAAAGTGAGACTATTATCTCCAAAAAAAAAAAAAAAGTTGGGGTTATAAATGTTAGAACTGTAAAACCTAAGGCAATGGATACTAATCAATAAGGACAATCAAGTCAGAACAAATGGCCCGTGAACTCCAGCTAGCTATAAAATAAAAATACACGTCTATGTGGCTTTTCTTGCTTGACACTTGAACCACACGAAGATACGGATCGTATCCTAGATTTAAAACACTATTCTTTCTTAGGAAACAGTGACCACAGCTAGGCACCTCTGAGGACTGCTTCCTCCAGCTTTCCACTCTACCTACAAATACACCAGACCTGTAGCCACTGGGATCCAAATCTACACCTTACTCTGGGGCAAAAGAGGTAGGGACTACATGTTCAGAGGACACTCAACTTGCTTTTTTCCTTAAATCACTAAAACAGATGACACTCTGTGAACCCAGTACCTCCCTGGAAAACCATGTTTGAAACTGAGCCATAATGTGTCAGGCACTCTATACCATTGGATTATCAACTTTTTATCTGTGGATGATAAAAGTTCACACCTGACCTGATCCCGTTATTAGGCCGTAAGCTAATCCATAGTTTCCACACTTCATATTCATTACAGTTACATCTACACTTAAAGTAGTTTTGACGGAAACTCCAATTAATCTGACAGAAAAATCGGGTCTCAGTAAGTACTTATGACCCTAAACCAATCTGATGTGAACTTAAAGGTTCAGCATCAGTTGAGCTCTGACAACTTCAGTGAGCAACAAAAAAGATACAGTTCTCTAAAAAGATCTTCACCAAAATTTCAATGAAAGAAGAAAAGGAAGGAAAACAGATAATGTAAAACAGTTAACATCATTGCACAAAGCTCCCCCAAACAGCAGAAATCAAAGGGAAAAGAAAATCCACAACTGTATTTTTAAACTGTTATGAATATGCTTCTTCCTAAAAATGCTTCCATGGTTCAAAAATTGGAAATATAATGTGCTCTGGAGCTTCCTTAATGAAGAGAAGGGAACGATGTGGAAACATGACAGGTTCAAAATATAAATCAGGACCCCTTCTGTCCTGAGAGCGAGTCAACGGATCAACTGCTTATGTGCTAACAAGAGGTCTCAATGGAAGCTGTGGAAAAGACACCTGTCAACTCCTTCTAAGTGACGACCACGGTGGAACTCGGTCCTGGAGGAAGTGCCCAATGCCCTCCAGGTTCACACTCACCCAGCTGTCTTCATCTGGCACCACAGCAGCAACGCATCCTTGGCAGATTTCTTCTCTTTGTTGTCTTCAGTTTCCACACTGATATCCTGGATCTAAGATTTACAGAGAAACACCAGACAAGCAGATGGGTCAGCTGCCTGACAAGAGTCGCTGAGGAACAAGGCTACATTACATCAAGAACGAACTCAGGTCAAAGCCTTGCCCTGCGGACTATCTGCCATGTCAGTGAAAACTGCTTCCTGAAGTCAGGGCTCACTTCAGAAACACAACCTGAGTTAAGTTTTCTACTTTGCACAGAGGTCTGGGTGAAGGGAAGACTAGTTACCAGTGTCACTTCCCAGCTTATTTCTGCCCCTAAGACAGCCCACCTTTCCAACTATAAGCCAACACAGTGGTTCATACAGTACATCGCAAACCTCATCGTTTGGCTTTTTATAATCAAAGTTTCTCAATTCCTTTTTAAATCTCAGATTATTGTGAAGGTACAAATGATTACATTCCATAGTTTGCATTTGGATGATTCAAGTCTGACTAAAAGGCCTATACCTGGGTTGTGTGAGAGAAACGAGACTCACAACCATATAAGACATCACCTAACCCCAGAGAGAATTACTCATGTCATAAAGTCCCAAAGCAAGCGATGTAGAGAGAAAGGAACACTCACACACTATTGGTGGGGCTGCAAACTTGCACAAGCTCTAAGGAAGCAGTATTGAAATTCCCCAAGAACTAAAAGAAGCACTTGCCTTTGATCCTACAATCCCATTAGTAGGTATTTACTCAAAGGGAAAACAAAGCCTTCTATCACAAAGACACGCCTGACTATTTCAGAACAGCACAATCTACAATCACAAAGACAGGGTAACAACTCAACTACCCATCAACACACAAATAAATCAGCAAATTGTGGTATTATGTAGACCATAGAATATTATTCAGCCATAAAACAGATGGAGATGAAGTGTCTTTTGCAACAAACATTTTTTAAACCAGAGTGCAACCTTCATTGATGAGGACACTGAGCACACCATTTCCTGAAAGCTGACCCAACCTCTCAGAGAAGAGTGTATTTAAATGCTGTGCTTTCATGGTCCGCTTTCGTAAGCTAGTCACAGGCAGCATGTTTTCAACATTATCCATAAAGCCTGGGCTAGTAAGCACAAAAGTCAGACTGCCTGGGCCTAAATCGAGGCTTCAGCACCTGTGTGCCCTTGGGTGCACTCTCCCGCTTCTTCCTCTAACGAGTGGCAACAGGAACGTGGCTGCTTCTCAGAACGGTTATGTGCTTAAATGCGATGAAGAATGTGAAGTGCTGAGCGCACGGTGAGGACCCGTAAGTGTTAGTTCTTGGATTAGGAGCAAGCTACTGGCCATATGATTTTAGACAAATGTTCCAAATACCCTTTTGTCTTTAGTTTCTGAAAGTATAACAAAATGTGAGATGGGTTTGGGAGTGGACGGTGTTGGCTGGTCATCTGTCCCTCTTCCAGCTGTAACCCTTCTAAGCTTCTCTACCTTGCACCCTGCCAAACTCTATCTACTCAATCTATAAATACTTTCTAGAATTCTTCTTGAAAAGGCGATAGGAGGACAAAATAGATAAATACAGCATTTAAAACCTAGAAACTTTCAACTGAGAGTAATATCTGAGAATTGAAACTATACTTAAACATTTTCTCTATTTTTAATGTGGTTAAGAATGTGATATTTGAGTTTGCATAAAACCCAATCTCTATTATTAGGATAATTAGCTTACATGCAGAAAGTAATGTGAAAGAACCAGCCTCATCCCTCACTCCAGGGGTGAGATACAGACTCACTGGGAAAGGTAAACTGCAATGTTCATAGTAACTCCCATCAGCTCTCTTATGCTTCTATGTGAGGAAGATTATTTCCCCTTCTAGATTTGCCAATATAGAAAAACGTCTGCCCTTCTGAAAGTTTAGCCAGCTCCCTCTCTACCCAAGGACTCTCTCTGACTGCAGTTGCTCAGTCTTCTACTCTCTTTTAAAGGTACAGCAGCATAACACCTGTGCATCATCATTAGTATTTAATGGACATGTGCTATGTGCATGCAGGGCAGGCCACATCCTGGGGCGGGGGGAGGGGTACACACCCAAGTGCATGTATGCACACATGTGCCGGGAACTTAAGATGAGACTATATATATTCAGGAGCTGGGGAAGGAGGAGAACTTTGCAGCTTTATGGGGAAGCTTCACCAAAGAGACAAAACCTGAGCTGGGCTACCTATTTTTGGAGCGGGTGATAATTTAATAAAGCTGCTGCAGGGAGCTGAATCAAGTAAGACATGAGCTTTGCAGGCCACACAGTAACATCAATGGCCTGTTCCTCTTGTCTCAAAGGAAAGGGAGAAAATACATCAACATTTAAAGGTTGAAGTATGGAAACAAACAAGCCGGCAGAAAGCTAATTAGTCAATGACTCAACCCAATTCATGCTGAGAATCATGAAGAGGGCTGTGTGTGCCAGCTCCCTGACATAGACACCAAGCTGCTGTCAAGAGGAGCCACGATCGGAATGCTCTTCCCTGCTCTGATTACTGCAGGCCAAAGGCAATAGAAATGGAACATTTCACTTTGCAAAATGGGGTGAAACTTGAGGAGTGTCTTACTAACTTCACCTCTGTTGGCTTAAGACCTAAAAGCCATAATTAGTGAATTCAATGGCATCTACTCCATCTTCAAATCATTCAGGAACTGAATAACAGACACCTACATAAGAGTTCTACCTAGGGAAAAAATGCCCTTGATTGGTATAATCAACTCCATTAATGATGTCATCTTCAATAGTAGTTCCCTTCTCAGACCTACTTAATCAACTTACTGGGGCTGGGCTCTGGGAACCTAAATTATTATTAAAAAGGTTTGGGAACCAGCCAGTGAGGAAGCCTTTTCTTTCTGTAACTCCATCTTAGCTCCCACCACTTCCTCCAAGACACACCCACAGCCCAATCCTAGGGGAAGTGAGAAGGATAAGGGACTGGTCACTGGCTGAGTTCAGAATTTCAGTAAGTAAACAAAGAGAGCTATAATTTGATTTTCCTTTTTCTTTTTTTATGCAAGGTTTTTATTTACCCAGAAAAATCAAGCTGATCTTTATCAAAGAGGCAGCAAGGGAAGGAAAGGCACAGAGAACACAGGCACTAAGGAGACAGGGCTGTTAGAATATCTGTTTGCAGAGTAACCTGACACTATGCTAAGAACATGTTCCTGCCTTTCAAATTTCAATGGACAAGTGTGCCCTTGAAACACGTGCCTGGACAAAGAGCCAGCCACCAGGCCAGTGGTGCCTCCCAGCCCTGAAATGCTGCCTGCTCTCCCACGGCACCCCTAACTTCCCTGGGTCCTCGGTTTCCTCATAAAGTAAAATAATTAGACAAAATGATCTTGTGAGTACCCTCTGGCTTAAAATACTTCTCTATTTAGAGCCTTCTTCTTCAAATATAATCATACCCATAAAACCATCATCAATTCAAACAAGTGTAAGGCTTTTGTACTTTTCCCCTGAAAACTGCGTCCTCATATCCAAAGGAAAATGAGAACACGAAAATGGAGCCCACACACATGCTGTAACTCTAAATAGCTTCTCCTAAAAATATTCTAAGACACACACCACAGTTTGGTGAAGTTCAGACAGTCTAGTGCTAGGAACCCAGCACTAGCCACATCCTTATACCTTTGCTCCTGAGAGCCAAGCGCAGAGAGTAAACATTAGAGGAGATGCCAGTGACCTGGTGCGCTGGGATGCAGCCTGGAAACCTCCTGGCCGACAACCTGCCTGACAGGAGACCTAGGAAACCGGAGGAGGACACAGCAGCTTCCACATCCTCCGGGCTGGGGCAACACACTGCTTGGCACACCTGACTCTGAACAGTGCTGCCAACCTGGTTTTCTTTCCTGGTCCCTCTGGAATGGAGATGCCAGCTCCACAAGGATGCTCATACCTGGGAGGGCGGCCTAAATCCTGAGCATCCATGAGTATATCCTTTACCTGGAAGCGCAGGATGATGGTCCAGATGAGGCCAAGGGTCAGCCGGTGGTTCCCATCCACGATGTCGTGGGACCCCATGTTCTCAAGATGGACTCTCTGCTCCTTCAGGAACTGAAGTGCCTTGTCCACATTCTCCAGACAGTGAATGCGCATTCGCCCCTTGGTGGGTTTGGGCTAGGAATGAGAGAGCAGAGGTGGAGAAAGATCACCCCAAAGGCCAGAGACAGCCCAAGTTACTGCCTAGAGTTGCGTACACCAGTTCTTA